ATTTAAGGTGCTATATTTATTCCTTTAACTCCCACGAGTGACCAACACCAAATTTCTCCTTACAATCAACCAAATAAGTGACAAGAATTAAGAAAAATTTCAATTCAGGGATAATTAGTTGATCCAATACTAAATCCTCTGAACTAACATTATAAGAATTGTATAACTGACAGTAAGGAGAATTAAAAATTAGATCTGGGAGTTAAAGGGTTAAGGCAGTAATTATTGAATTATTATGCTATAGAACAGTGTAACGAACTGAAGAAAGCTTTTGGACAATCTGAAAGACATAGATGACATAAGGCTGTTTCACTTGATCATGCTCAAAAGAGGTTGTTGGAAAATAATTGAACTCAAGAGGAATCCTATAATGGTAAAACCTTCAGATATTTCAATTCATGGATACTGCATGTGTTTGCTATTTTTAAAACACAGCAGGTTGAACTGGGAACTGAGGATAATATATAAATATAATATATAATATGTAAATATTTCATTCAACAAATTGCCAAGGAAAACTTCAATAGTTTTTGGGAAACTTAGCTTTGAATTGGCTGTTGCATAATTTAACATCTGCAGACTATTCAGTGGTTCCTGTTACTGGTAAAGTAAAGCTATATGCTAAGGCACAAAGAAAGATTGCTTTGGGATTAGAGTTCAAATGCTCGATAGCCTCTTCAGTGCACACTGAACCTCATTTGCCATTTTCTTTACATCCCACCCTACTCAATGGTTATTTTTTATGGAAATCTTCCCTATCTTTTGGGTTTTCTGTATAAAAAAGCCTCTCTGCTAATATTATGTTTTAGCACTATTATATCAGCTTACATGCATCAAATAAGAGTCACATTTTGTGGAAAATAAGTTAATCATATAAAGACTGCATGATTTGTCCCAAACATTACTTGTGGTCAAATGTCCTATGGTTTATCAGATTGAATTGAAAGGTACAATAATTTTGTTGAAAAAATATCATCGATAAATAATGCCTAACTCGAGTTCTCGGAAAACATGTCATTGAATTAGAGACGGCAAGTCATTCTCTAGCACTGGAAAACGAACTGTGAGTAAAGGCTTTCGCTTTCAGTTTCCTGTCGCCTTCGAAAATAGCAACTTCCGCCTTGACTGACACGTATTGCGTGTTCCAATCTTCACTAAAGCATTTCCCTGTCCCTTTAATCTAGATCAGAAACGACTGCTGGAAGTAAAACAACTGGTCTGAGTCCAAAACAGACCCTTATTAAAGTATGAAATTCAAATAAAGTGCCCCTTTTAGTGCGCATCAATTCATAACTCATGAATCTACTTACCTCTAAGAATAGTGATTTAAACGAAATAATTACACCCGGGGTCCGTGAAGAGGCTACGCTTTCGTCCTGAAAAGAGAAAAAAAGTAGCTTATGTATCAAGTATATCTTCACCATACGCTTATCTCCAAAGGCTTGTGTTAAAATTTTCGTAATCATACGCATTTACGCGAGTGAAATACCGTAAGTCGTCAACAACGGGTTATTGAAGTTTAAGTTAAAGTTACGGAGTGAATAACTTTACTATTTTGTCTGTACCTGCTCTTTCTTCGGGTCAACTCTTCTCGTGGACAGCAATGTGAGTTTAAACCGATTCGTTTCTTTGTTTGCTGATCTTCCGTCGAGAGAGCGAAGAAAGTCATAAAATGTAGGTATTCTAACTGACTCAGAGAAGGGAGTTGTTCAGGACATGCGCAGATAACATTATTCTCAAATGAAATATAACACCTAAAATCGAGTAACACCGTGACTATCACGCAATGAAACTAACTTTGCAATGCGTTTCTCGGCCTTAGGAAGAAACATCGTTCAAAAAAATTACAACGGAATTCTTTTAAGGTTCACATGAACAATAAGGAACTTTTTTTTTCCTAAAGCTGGAGACGAGTTTTCGTCAGAGTTGCTTCCACACAACAACGCGTGATTCACTCTATACCACCTCTCACTACAGGTCACGCATCTTAACAAGACACGCACGGCAAATTTCAAGTACCATCTTATTGCCAAAACTACCGACGAGTGATGCGTTCGTCTTCTTATGTCTTCAAAATTTTTAAAGGCCGGAATCCGCCCCTCCCCACCCCTTAAAAACACGGCCAGAAACTCTCACCTTCGACGCTCGTAGTTGCCACTTAATCCCAATCAAAACCTCCCTCCTTCTGATTACTAATCGTTGGAGTCTGATCAGCAAAGCTAAACTGTAAACTAAGCCTTTGAGTCTGTTCCTTTGACGTCTCCATCATCGACCCGTCCAAAGACTGGCTAGGCGAGAAAGACTGACCTAGATGGACCTGATCAGAATATTGTACGCAATCAACTCATGGACAGAGAGTCGGATGGTCCTGCGGGGATTAAAGAAAGGAACTTTGCGACTGATCTTAAATTACAGGATAAATGCTCTCAAATATATTTTTAAGCTGACGCCTACAAAGGAAAAGCATAAAGTTTTCAAAATAAATACTTAATTCATAAAGCTCTACTAAAAAATTATTGACCTTGTTCCTATAACTTGCAAGTTATCTGTGCAACCTCAAATAGTGAATATAAAATCTGAATTGAGCCCTAAGTCACACATTCGGAAAGACTAGCTTCATGTTGTGAGGTGCCGCTCATTATTTATCGCCTATGGGGGGCTGGAGGATTTTGGTTGTTACGACTTAATTTACCTGCTTCCCCCATAATATATACTTATGATTCCTCATTTACAGTCAATTGGCGGTCAGTTTTCTAGAGTCCCCCTGAAAACTCTGTTGGCGACAACTGATCAGCCTCCGTTTATTGCAAATCATGTAAACCCCATCCCCCATTACCCTCCCCCCTCAAAGGGTGCATCCTTAAGGAACGCATGGGACATGTTTCAATTTATTTTGATTAACGGTTTGTCAATCAACAGTGCCGAATAAATTACTGTGTTTCTGATCTTTTCGATTCACTCGAATATTTGATAACTTTGAGGTCAAATATCCCCCCTTGCCAGAAAGCTACAACACTGATTTGAATGCCCCTTTCTAATCCATCGCTTCATCTCTGAAAATCATTAAAAAACTTTTTGGGTACTACCATATTTTTGTCTTGGTTGCCTTTTGAAATCTGCGACTGTGACAAGCTTCTCAACTACGAGTGTCACGCAATTCTGGCTGCAAGCGGTCATTTAAGCAAATAAACCGACATTTTATAGCTCGTTATACAAGATAATTGATCTAGGAAGCTAAGAAATGTAAACAACTTTCGAGATTTTTTGTAGTAATGGAAATTTCATATTTATAGAGAAGCATGTGGGCGAAACATTGATGGGAAAATCGTAGCATTTTTCTCGTCTGTCGTTTACTTTAGAGATTTTGCTAAAATCGGCAAATATGGCTCTCTTATAGCAAAAAAATTCATTAGTCTTTGATTTGATCGTTTATTATCACAATTTACAATCAAGACATTGTAACAGGAAAGGAGATTTCAAAGACACATGCCGCCTACTTGTTGACACGCAAGTTCCCATGACGTGTGCAATACAGACAAGAAGCTTAGCCTTCTCACTTGAAACGAAATATTAGAAGTAATATCCCAAATTTATAAACTGCGCTAGTATTCCTTAAAAATAAAACTATAACGGTTTTTTCGTAGTCACTTACTACCATCAAACATTTCATGCAGAACTTTGCCGAACTAATGTCTGTGGCGTGACTACAAAATGTTTCATAGCAATAGGAATTATTCAAGCACGTTGCTCAAGCCGTCTGCCAGATAATAAGTTCAGAATATTCTGCAGATCTCTTTGCTATTTTCTTCCTTCTTGGTCGTAAAATATATATATATTGTGTAAACTCATGCTGTAACTACATGTAGAAAATCTGCATCTCTCTCGATCGAGAGTTGGCGTTAAATTGCGTCACTTAAAGAATGAGCCCGTAATATTTTGATCTGTGGGCTTCGTGCAAGTTTCCATTTAGGTTAGGTTATATAGGGAAAAATGCGAATCATATCCAGTTGTTTTCGGGAGTAATGACAAGAAATTTGAACGAAAAGCGAGACGCAAAGGTCTGTATTTTTTAGTAGTCTAATGGTAGCTGCACCCTCCCTTGCTGTCTTCGTTTAAATTTTGCGACTTCACATATGCCAAAAAGTTAAGAAAACTAAATTAGATAGGGACTTCACGGGTGTCTGAATAGGGCAAACTGTCAACTAAGAAATGGTTATAAGTTCTCACTACAAGCTGAGTTCTTTTTGCTTGCAAATCAAACAACGAATTACGATGCGTAATTAATTAAAATTTACCTCCGGATGCTAACAAATGAAATAAGGCAAAAATTGGCCTTTCTAACCTTCGACGGGATTACAAGTTGACAACCGCACCCCTCGGAAATGAATAATTTAAAGTTCAAGGTCCCTCCTTATTTCTCCTCCGCAATAGACCTGTTCTAGTCAGGGCAGAAAGCCGGCTGAAATATCGAGCGATCTGCTGCTCTGTCAACCAGTCAGTCTTAGAGAACATTTTCTGGCCGGTGTCGTCTCTTGAACTCTTCATTTTGGGGGCCATATCAGAGGCAGTTGCCTTCTTACCAGTTTCCTCCTGAACTTGGTCAGTCCCGGAACAAGCTGTAGAAGTTCCGTTTTACTGTAGTCGCCGGTGAAGAGGGAGAGAATTTATTGCTGGGTGTACCAAGAATTAGCCTCATTGTAGAGGGTCACTAGTCTGTTCACTAAGATGTCCTCTTCGGAAGTAACAGAGACAGCTTGTCCGCTATGGTACTTTTCGAAAGTTTTCTGAAGCAGCCACGATGAATTCCTCGGGGCAATAGCATTCAACACGGTATCAACAGCTTGGCTGGCTTTTTTGCGGTAGTACCGTTGCGACGACGATGAAATAGTCATAACATCGGACTTGCACTGAGACCTGACTGGGCTCATTCGGCCATCAGTTGACTTCATTAGATAGCTGTTAAGGTACCGCAGCTGATACTTAACCAGCGGAGTAGGCTGTCACTCGCGAGACGTCTCTACCCACACCGACGACTCCTGCGACGACGACGAGAGAATGTCTGAATTCGGGTCGCCCTGCTGTAGCAAAAAAAAATTAGAGAGAAAAAGCTTGTTTGGCGATTAACAGAACACTCCACGCATCTGACTCCACCACACGAATTATTAATAGGAATACATTTCTTCCTAATGATGATAATAATGGTAATAATAATAATAACAATAATGATAAATCGTATTCTTAACAATTACGATCGCAATTGTTATTGTAATATATTTGATAATGGGGACGACAGTGACATGCACAGGTCCAATGACGCAGCATAGATCACTATGTCTAAAACATCAAAACTCAGAATATTGCAATTCAGAACGTTTGGGCTCAGCAAGGAATAATTCTGAGTATTCTGCATGAAAATGAGTTACGTATTATTAACATGTATTGCAATATTTTCTTTCGGCCTCTACACATCATGAAAACACATTGTGGAATGACATGTAGTCTTATCTCACTTCCAATTTCAACTCGACATCGCACGCGTAAACGTGGCAACACAAATTCGTCTTCGGTTGTCTCAGGGGACTCCCTTCCTCTCTGTTCCTGAGATGGTCCTGCAGTCTGGTCCATGGACTCCACCTCTGTTGCAACTGGGATTTCACTTGTTACAGTTTCGATGTCAGAGGGAGGATCGCCCGCTTCCAAACTGTTTATGTGAGCGCCTCTGCAGTATCTGCATATACCTGACAAACATATGATATAATCTTCAAATCGGTCACAAGTTACAAGTAAGAAAAAGTGATGTTCAGATAGGCTCCCTCTGAGTAAGCTTTTTCCATATACCCTATTCATCGACTCTAAGATACGTTACGCGTCTTACAACAATTCGGTATGTAATCAGTCTACTGTTAGGGGGAAAAATTATATATTTTAGCTTTAGGACAAATTCTATATTTATTTATCGGTTTAGACCCAGTTCTGTATTTTGTTCGTTCTTTTACTCGACCGGTTGAGCGGTAAAGAATGGTGAACGAGTTGTTCTATTCAAATTGTTGATTATTCAAATTAGTTATAACCAGAAAAAGTAAATTGTTGACATATCACAAAAATATTGTACTTAGGGTTTTCGTGGGTTTTGGGATAAACATCTTAAAAATATATTCATATACTTTTACATTTGAAATATTCGGTTATTCGGGTTTTTCCCTTGGTAGTTAAATAAAAATGTACAAAAACCACAGTGGCTTTTAGAATGGATTTTTATCGATTACTCGCTTTTACTATGCGCCTGCTCGTCGGCACTTTTGCCATCTAGTACATGGGTTTTTTTTAGGTAAATATAAGTGTTAATGGTCTTTCTGGAAACATTGGTTTTCATGGTAGATAGCAGCTGAGTTTAAACGCGTAGATTTAATTTCTTTTCATGCGATGGTTTCCAAACCAATCTTGCGCAAATAAGCAGAAACTTTTAATTGATTTTCCGTTTTCTATTTCCTAAGCTGCGCTGCTGCAATTAAGATAGGTATTGTTTTCTATATCAGAGCTGTAAATTCTCACCTAGGTTTCCTACTTTAATGGCCTAGAGTTTATTACATCCGTCTTTTTAATTTTGAGATTGTTTCCGTCGTAGAAACAGATGGAATATTTAAGTAGTTTTTGTTTAGCTTCAAAGAGACTTTTTTCCGCTCCTTTGTGTCCTTATCCAAATATTGCGATTCGTGTAACAATAGCACTTCGCACCAGTTACTTCTTAAGCAAGTACCTTGTACAGCTTTGATGATTACAAACTAGAGTATGCTAGAGGTCATGTCGCTCGTTGGCCTAACCTAGAATAAAAGTACTGTGGAACCAAAGATTGTCTTATCCTTGACGTCCGTATAAGCTCGCTCGAAGCAGATCTCCGTGTACCAGGAAATCGTGACGAGTTTCCGTTCTCGCTGCCAAGTCGTCTCTACAGAGTTAGTTCCCCCAGTTGTTATTGCACCGTCCGCGAAGATTCAGTTTCCCAGTTTGGGCGAGAAAAACCTATCGTCACAGTGGTGGAGGACCCGGGCACTTCTTGGAGCTTCCAGGACGTTAACAAGGTCAAAGAAGACGCCAAATCCAGTTTCACGCCAGCCGATGTAATCCCTTGAGCGCCGACAAGAAAAGAACCGCTCAAGTTACGTGAGTATCAGAAATTCTTTGTCTCTTTATGAAGTCCGTGAAGAGAGTTTTTACGAAAAGTTTGCCGCGTTATAATTTGAGAAGCCGAAAATCAGCCGTTCCCGTTGCCAGAAATAGTACGCCAAAAGTAAACAGAGAAGTGCAGGCTTCTTTGTCTGAAGAAGAAAATTGTACTTTGTCATTTGAATTACCATTCCACCCAAGTTCCTTGCCGCCCACGGCACACGTCACCAGTTCCAGCGAAGAAATAGAACCTATTCAGTCCAACGGCCTTCCGAGATTTTCCACCGCATTTTCCGAACAGAATCCAGTCAACAGAACGAATACCGAAGCGATCGATATTAGTATTGATCCGTGTGAAGGCCCATCCATTGTTCAGCAAAGTTTACCAGAGCCAACGACCTCCTTTGTTCCGCGTCAAGAGAGCGACGCAAGTCCATCCGAAGATTTCATCCCAAACCAGTCCAGTCAGTCACATCACGGTCCCCGAACCGATTTAGAAGTTGAGGAAACCAGCGATTCCGAGGTCGACGAATCCCTAGAAAGAAGATTTTTGCAGATAATTAATTCACCAGAGCATTTTGACGCGTTGGTGCGAAAAAGCATAAATTACACAGAACCAAAACAAACAGCACCACAAAGAAGATTTCGCTTCGAGTCAAGTTCTAGCGAAGGAAGCGAAGAGGAAGGAAACGAAGATAATACAGCAAATAGTGAAGACGAACAAGAAGAAAATTTAGAATCCTGCGAAGACATAAACAGCGAGACTGAACAACGACACTTCGCAACGATGGAAGCTGAATTACTGAGAGAAATGCAGGACGAAATAAAAGTGCTACGAGCCCAATTAAATCTACAGTCTCAAGCGCAACAACGAACAGCCAGCGCATTGGCACAAACACCCCTACCAGAGGTTTCAAGCACACACAGACCACCCCCATTTCATGGCTATGATACTGAAGATATTAACCGATGGTTAGACAAGATAGAAAATTACCTGAAGCTTCGTCGAATTGACTTAGCCAGCCCCACAGCTTTGGCAGAGTTGGTCATGAACCTTGCTGGCCCAGCCGAGGATTACTATTATTCTCTGACTCCTGAAGAGAAAGCTAGCTTCGCAGGCCTGCGTGATTCCTTGAGGGATCGTTTTGCTAATGACAATCAGAGCTGGATAATTTGGCAGGCTGTTTCCACTCGTCAGCAAGGCGCCATGGAATCCTTAGACACATACCTAACTGATTTAACGAACAAGTTTCGTCGGCTTAAAATAGCAGATGCCGATAAGATGCGTTACTTCGTCCAAGGATTGAGACCAGAAATACGCGAGACTGTGCTTTTGAAACAGCCCAGAACATTCCGCGAAGCTGAAGAAATGGCCAGGTTGGCGTGTGCGGTCAAAACGACCATGAACAATGCTCCTGATGGCAATATGACAGCCCAGATACATAATTTGTCACGTTCCATGGACGTCCCCAACAGCGCCATATTAGCTAAAATAGAAATGTTGGACGAGAAGCTTAAACAACAAAGGATTCTCGCCAAGCCTGATCCGCCCGCACCAGAAAACCATACCTTGGCCAAACTCGACGCCCTGGTAAATGGATTCACTAGCGAGGCCAGTGTTCACCAAGTAGAAGCTCTGCTAGCCAGAATTGACCAGCTCGAAAAAGCTGCCAGGAAAACGGAAGGTAGTCGAGTTACGCCTCTAGCAGCTTATTCAGCCGGGGGCCCAGAAACACGCGATGTATTCAAAGAAATTCGCCAGATAAAGGACACTTTATTGGACATGATACAAAACCTTGACAGGCGCATGGACGCCCGAATAAATGGTCTTGCCAGACACCAACAACCCAACCGTGAAGCCGAACTTCCAAGACAGCGAACGCGAGAAGGACGACCAGTTTGTTATTCTTGCGGTAGAGTTGGCCATGTACAGCAGAACTGCAACCAGAGATATTCACGCGAGGCGAATCAAAATTTTGATCGTTACCAACCGCACCAGCAGCGACGTCAGCCGCCTGATAATAATCTTCCGAGATCTGGGTATCAATCACAGCGACGTGATGGATTGGTTCCCTTGGATCCAAGAGTTCTTAATTCAGCCACTGTTAACGAGGAAGCTTTTCCACACAGCCACATGGCACCATTAGCACACAATGGCACTTGTTATATATTTCCACAGAGTGAAGGAAAGTTCCCAGGACTGAACTCAGGCAGGAACGACCCGCAAGTCGACAATGAAATTTTCCAGCAGCGCCAAAATGTGCTCCGATCCCACCGAGAAGTAGCCAGAGAAGACAAAGTGGCATACAATACGCTAACGAGCGAGTTCTTCCCAGCCTCAAAACAACAATCGGACGATATGCAGCCACATTACAAGCACGCGTATGCAAATAATGAGGCCCTCAAAGCATCGACCGCTGACCCCGCTAAAAACGTCACTCAAGGAAGCCTGGAAACCAAGGCCCAAGCCAAACCGGATGTGGCTGTCCGTTCACTGGGTACAAGTGAACTCCATAAGGAAGAGAAGAAAGTAGAACCCAAGAAGAAAATAGATCTTGAGTGCCGAGAGAAGTGCGAGACCACTGGGATTAGAACGTCTAACAAAACAACGCGTTGTACGGGAGCAATGGGCAATGCCGCCGCTAACACTATTTCGAACCCCGAAAGTACAGAAATAGTCCAACCAGCCCCAGACTCTTCCGCTGGACACTCAAGTACTTCCGCCGGATGTGGAACTGAAACCGGAAACTTCGTTCCAGATCCCTCGCTGCCACAGCCTAATACTTCCGCCGGATGTGGAACTGAAACCGAAAACTCCGTTCCAGATTCCTCGCTGCCACAGCCTAGTACTTCCGCCGGATGTAAATCCGAACGCGTTGACCTGGCTCCAGATCCCTCTCCATCACCAAGTATCTTCGCCGGCTATGGGGAAAATTCGCCACCCAGCGACCCAGCTCCTGACCAGGCCCCGTGTGAACCAACCCAAAATACCGCTGACCAATGTCACGTTACTTCTGATGGATCTAGACCACGTCCACTAACGGCCGCCGCCCAGTTAAATGGGAAGGACCTTTGGATACTTGTTGATACTGGGGCAAGCATGTCAGTCATTGACGAACAGTTCCTGCGAGGTCTGTTTGACGGAAAGTTACCCAAATTGCAGAAGAGTGAGCTTAGCGACCTAACGACAGTTAGTGGCGAGACACTCCCAGTCCTTGGACTGCTTAAAGATTCGCTTCATGTTGCTGGAGGAATATACCCCTGTGAGCTCCAAGTGGTTAAAAACCTGACTTATGAGGCTGTTATGGGCCGAGATTTCCTGAGGGTCAACGGCGCGGTCATAAACTTAAAGAAAGGAACATTAGAGTTAGACAAAATTCCTGAAGACCAGTACATTACCGATACATATTGTCCAGTAAGAGCGATGGCCCTCGCTGTTATACCCCCCAATTCAGAATCAGTGATTCCAGCGAAGTTGGACGTGGAATTTCCCCCTGGGCGTTTTGGAATAATAGAGCCCTCTCAACACCTTATGGAACGATATCAGCTTCAAGGTGCTTCAGCTTTGGTCAGGATTACTGCTCTCCATACCATCCCATTTCGCCTGATTAATCCGACAAGTAGACCCGTCTTTTTTTTTTTATAAAGGGGGGCAACCTGGGAATAATTACCAGATTGGATACGAATTCACACATTTTCAGCCTCGATGACCAACCCAACAAGAAACGAGAACTTGAAACCGACGCTCCAGACGTTCCAGTTGATTTCTCCACCTCTGCTCTAACCAGTTCACAGCAAGCACAGCTGCAGAACCTCATCAATGAATACAGGGATATCTTTGCCCTGTCCCCACAGGAGCTTGGAAGAACCAACTGGGTACAGCATACTATAAATACTCAAGGTGCCCCTCCTATCCGGATGCGACCTTATCGTGTACCAGAAGCCCAGAAGGAAAGAATAGAGAATTGCATTGATGAAATGTTAGAACAAGGGATCATCCGCCCCTCAGCCTCACCGTGGGCCAGTCCAGTGGTGCTTGTTAAGAAGCCCGATGGTTCTGATAGGTTTTGCGTGGATTTCCGCGCCCTGAACGATATCACAAAGAAGGATTCCTATCCCCTACCGCGCATCGCCGAAAGTTTAGATGCCCTCTTTGGTACCCAGTACTTCTCCAGCATGGATCTGATGTCGGGTTATTGGCAAATCGAGATGGAACCTGAGTCTCGCGAGAAGACAGCCTTCGTTACCCACGCCGGGTTGTTCGAGTTCAATGTAATGCCGTTTGGACTTTGTAATGCTCCTAGTTGTTTCCAGCGGTTGATGGAGTGCGTGTTGCGGAGTCTGAACTGGCGGATAGCGCTGATATACCTGGATGACGTACTGGTTTATTCCCGTACTTTCCGCGATCATTTGGATCATCTACGCCTAGTGTTTGACCGTTTCCGCGAAGCTGGTCTTAAACTCAAGCCAAAGAAATGTCATTTTGGACAGAAGAGCGTTAAGTTCTTGGGACATGTCATTTCCAAAGATGGAGTGCAACCAGACCCCGGCAAGATTAAAGCTATCAAGGAGTACCCAGTTCCCCGCAGAGTGAAGGACGTTCGCGCTTTCCTGGGCCTAGCCAATTATTACCGGAAGTTCGTCAAGGATTTTGCCAAGATTGCTGGCCCGTTACATGACCTCACCAAGAAAGCCTTAAAGTTTCAGTGGACCGACGAGTGCCAAGCAGCCTTTGAACGCCTCAAATCCGCTCTGATCCAGGCCCCCATTTTGGCTTACCCCGACTTCACGCTTCCCTTTGACCTCTACGTTGATGCGAGTGATGAAGCTCTTGGAATGGTCCTAGGACAAGTACAAAACGGTCGTGAAGTTGTCATTTCGTACAGCGGCCGCAAATTACTGCCCGCAGAAAAGAATTATAGTGTGACGGAAAGAGAGGCCCTCGCCGTTGTCGCAGGCATCAAGTATTTCCAGCCGTATATCTATGGCCGACGATTTACCGTTCATACCGACCATAATGCAGTGCGTTGGCTGATGAATATTAAGGAACCAACTGGGCGACTTGCTCGTTGGGCTGTACTCCTCCAGCAGTACGACTTTAACATTGTTCATCGTTCGGGTAAAAGCAATGGAAACGCAGATGCCCTCTCTCGACGAGATTATGATAACCTTATCGCCCCTCTTGATAAGGGTGGAGTTCAAACCGAGAAGATCCGCGACCTACAGCGTAGAGACCCCGCTCTCGCCGATATAATTGAGTACCTGGAGTTCGAGGAGCTTCCCAATGAGAGTAAAGCAGCCAAGCAGCTCTTGTATACGATTGAACAGTACTACCTGGATCCTGAGGGAATTCTGTGCCACATTTGGGTTCCAGGGGGTAAACGGTCGTCCACACCCAAATCGCAGCTCGTGGTCCCCGCCTCGCTACGCCATGAGGTACTTGTAAACGTACACGATCTCCCAACTGGTGGTCATATGGGAGTAAACAAAACCTATGCCAAGCTCCGCGAGCGTTATTTTTGGCCCAAGATGTACATGGATGTTCAACACTGGTGTTTGAGTTGTGAGCACTGTGCAATGAAGAAGACCCCAAGACAGCGACAAACTTCACCATTACTTCCCATTCCCGTTGAGGCACCGTTCGAGAAAGTAAGCTGTGATATTAGTGGGCCATGGCCAGTAACTCACGACAACAACCGCTACATTCTGGTCTTCATTGACATGTGCACCAAGTGGCCCGAGGCCTTCGCCATTCCAAATATTGAGGCAAAAACAGTTGCTGAGATCTTCGTGAAGGAGATTGTTAGTCGTCACGGTGCGCCACGCGTGCTCTTGTCAGATCGCGGGTCCAATTTCCTTTCCAGTCTGTTCCGAGAAGTCTGCTTCTTAATGAACACTGAGAAGATATTTACCAGTGGATACAGACCACAGACTAATGGTTTAGTTGAGCGATTCAATGGCACCTTAGCTCAGAGTCTTTCTATGTACGTCAGCAGCGACCAAAAGGACTGGGATCAACATTTGAATTCCGTCCTATTCGCCTATAGAGTTTCACCCTCAGAGGTCACCGGGAATCTCCCTTCTACATGTTGTATGGCCGAGAACCCCTACTGCCTATGGACACCGCCCTGATTCCCCTAGAGAAATGTCTGTGTCCGTCGCCGAGCACAGGGCTCGTGTTGTCGAGCATGTGGAAAGAGTTAGGCGAATCGCCGCCGAAAATACCCAACGAGCACAACAGAAAATGAAGGAACTCCATGACCTTACTGCCTCGTCGCCACCTTTCGCTGTCGGAGATAGGGTATGGGTTTATACTCCTAAGAACCGAAAGGGGCTCTCCAAGAAGTTAGCTCATAACTACCATGGCCCTTATCGTATCGTCGAGTTCCTTTCACCCGTCCACTGCGTCTTAAGAGCCATGGATAACCGACGCATTTCTACAACGGTCCATGTGGCACGAATGAAGCGTTATGTTGATCCTGCTTCGCGCCCAATCCGTCAACCGCCCGAGGACATTGATGAGCCTTATTTGCTCGATAGCGATCTCCCCGATGACAGTTTCGCCAGTGACCAAACCAACGCGGACGACACCGCTGACCAGCCCCCAGCGCCGAACGACGGCCCTGAATTAGCAAACGAAAATACCTCTGAGGAGGACGAGGAATCAGAAGAAGAAGAAGTTGATATGGATAACGTCTATTCTGCGGAAGAAATTGTCTCCCAGCGTCTAAGAAATGGTAAGCCCGAATACCAAATCAAGTGGTTGGGTTTCCCGCCTAGTCAAAACACGTGGGAAGTCGCAGAGAATATTTTGGACAAGCGACTTCTCGAGCGCTTCTACAAGAAACATCCACGAGCAAAACGCCTCGATGTTGACCCTGATTACTCTCCTAACACGGTGGCATTACTTTCCTGGCCGGAAAGTCCCTCTTCTAGTCCCGTCATTGCTGTTATTACCGGTCGAGAGAGAAATATCTCCCGTCAAAACAAACCGCTGAGCGACCCTATGTGCACTCTTCATGTAAGCTGCACCGAATCGGGCGACCCACCAGTCCCTCAGCTCAACCACGAAATTGCAAGGGACCTGCAACCGAATTCCACCCCAGTCGCCCCCTCAACAGCCCTGCCAGTGGCAAATGACCCTCCCCAACGAGTTGGGTTGGCTCCAGCCCTCTCCCCTGAAGTTCACTCTGGGATGACACGTAACCCCACGACCCGTCTCTGGTTATTTTTATTGTTCATCTTCGCCCTGGTATGTACCGGAACCGGAAGTGATTATGATGCGACTGGTCGACAAGTCTCGTTCTATCCTAACGCGATGATGATAGCTACAAATCCGAAGGCTTTGGTTTTCTATCGTGAAACCAAGCTCATCAGTACGCATTTGGACCTACCACACGTCCCAAAGCGAGAATCGGTTATAATAAATTCTACTTGTGATCCCGAACTGGCTAAGTTTTATGATCGCGTTCTTGCGTCTATTCGTGGGGTGCAACGCGCTACAAACCGCCTTCTTTCAGTTCAGGGCGTTACAGATCTCCTAGAATGCGACTCTTACTTACGCCGTTTCTACGCTTATGTCACCGGTTTACAATCGACCTTGCAATGTCAAAAAAGACACTATGCAAATAACCTGCACGACTGTAAACAATGGGCCTTACGCGATTGTCGTACTTCATCTCCTCAAGAAAGCGCTTGGTTAGCCAGTACTCACTCTAGGAAACGCCGCTCTAGCTGGTTTTGCCATGCAGGACTAGCGGGCCTCGCACGGTTTTTCTACAAACTCGCCGGAGGACATTGCGAAACTAACAACTATGCTGGGCTTTTGACAACTCTACGCGAGACCGCAGGAGCCATGCATTCTGCCCAGCTCATGATGCACGTTCTTTATGGAAAAACCGTCTATCTGGTAAAGACTACAGATATGTTAAGCTCAAAACTCAACCAAGTCATCCACTCTCTTAATTTAATGGCTGGTGCTTACTCTGGATGGAACGCACGCTTTGCTGAATATGCAAAGGATCAAAACTGTCACTTTAATTTGCATCAAGAATTCACATCGATCTACACAATGGAAGTAAACAAAGCTTTGATTGCTTTGTTACGCTTGACGGAAATTGACGATTTGTTGCGCCAGCTGGCACACCTTTCTCGAAAGAACCTGGTCAGCTTCGCTGACCTTCCGGGGTTTCTCAGTACCGAGTTGACCATCAAACTTTCCTCTGTCTCCGCTCTTGCCAACACTGTTGATGCCCTAAAGGATGGTTTTCCACTGATTATCGAGCCGTTGGTAGATTACCAGCTCTCCACTTCTAGAAACCTACAATTACACCTATTGTTTACTCTCCCAACATTGGACACACAACAAGCCATTTGTACAATTGAGCAGTTGGTCCCATTGTCCTACCAAATCAACGGGAAGTGTTTTGGCGGCTCACTTACGCGACATGATCTGGTTTTGTTAACGTGTGACAACACGAGGTATGTTCTCAAACAAGCCGAATTAGAACAATGCTTTAAGGGGGAGACCGCTCTCCTTTGTCCAGCCAATATGTTGTCCACTTTAGAAAATCCACTTTGGTTAGGTCTCAAGTGGACGCCTCAAACTCGCCTTTTACTTTTAATCATGCTCACACTCTTCTCCCTAATTGTAATACCCTACGCCCTCTCATTCACCTTGGTGGACGGTATTATTTGTCTACCACTCTAAATAACATACCCCTCCAAACTAACAATGGCACCACCTCCCTATTGTTACAACCTTTTCACATTTACCATTTCCCATGTGATGTGTCCTTTCATCAACAACGCACGGGACTAGGGGTTTGCCCAGACCTTATCCGATTTCAATTTCCCCTGTTCCATAATCATCAATTTCAGTTTGTTCCCTGGGTGCCACTCCGTTCGAACGATTTACCCCTGTATCCCCCTCAAAACTTCTCTATTCCCACTCCTGTCCGCGTAGACAATAGTACACTTAAGTCTCTTGACGACACGTATAATACACTTGATCTGGATTTGACACGTCGCTTACAAAACCTAAACAACGACATTCAGGCTATTCATCCAGTATCCCACGTCAAATTATCGCCAGTGTTCGTTTATTTTTCCTTTGTGTTAACCATTCTCAATTTAATTATTTTAATCGTGTTTTATTGTCGTTATGTCAAACGCGCCCCCACCTTAGTTACCCCACCAAATTCGCTGGAACTACGCCCTCTGACCTCTACTCAAGGTACTTCGACTTGATTGCCCTCCTCTCGGTTTCTTGTCCCTAACTTCCATTTGTTCCCTCTTTCACAACAAGGAACCGACTCCAACAACTCATGTTTATTCCCTGCATGCCGGCCAACGCAACCCAACACCCTCATTTAGCCAGCATGTGTTTATTTAGTTATAACCCCTGTTTTATTTTCCTGGACCACGTTCTCCATTTGCCCTTTTCACGACTATCCAGCTGTTCTACATTCATCCCCTATGTGTTTATTTTTCACAAGTCACCTCGCTTTTCACTTTCCCTTGTATGCCATGTGTTTCCTTTCTTCCTTTCTTTCCTAATGCCATATAACCCCGTTCACTTGAGACCTTGAGCCACAACAGTCTTTAGACATCTTCGCTTACGATTCACAACCAAAGAAATCAACCACCCATGGCAACGCTCTCTCTTACCGTTGAACTGGCCGGCTTCCAACATGGCGATGGACCATTCCATATTAAGGCCCTGGCCTTCGCCTGTCCGAGGACGCGGTCTTCGGGCAGCCGTGTGTTCGACAGCACACGCATTGTACCGGACAGTGCAGCTGCACTCCGAACGATTGCGCACCAGACGGCCCATCATGGGTTTCCACTCCATTCCACGGGCTTACCACCCACCTCTACGGGCGTCGTCCTCCAGACCTTCCTTCAGATTACCATGCTCGATTGGATGGAGGCGGGAAACGCCGCCCCAGCCACGCTCATATTGTGGACCAAGGGCCTTCAAAAGGTCAATCTTTTCGCAGACCTCCTGCAGCAAGTCCATTTCCCGGAGCTCCGCATTCACATAAGGAACTTGGAAGACCTGCACTGCCCGCCACTTACGCAGCTCTGTCCGGCAACCCAGCCCTGGTCGATCTGCCAGAAAGCCGTACGACTGGCCCGCTGGCTCGCTGAGCAAGGTCTCGCTTAACTGCCTCACTTTACGGCCATAACCTGGCCTCCAGGAACATTTTCTATATAGACTTTCGTCATCGTATTTCCATATTTGCAATCGTTATTTTTTTTTTTGTTCCCTCGTTCATCGTTCTTTCCCTCGACCGGGAGGTCTCGATCTAAGGTGGGAGGAATGTTAGGGGGAAAAATTATATATTTTAGCTTTAGGACAAATTCTATATTTATTTATCGGTTTAGACCCAGTTCTGTATTTTGTTCGTTCTTTTACTCGACCGGTTGAGCGGTAAAGAATGGTGAACGAGTTGTTCTATTCAAATTGTTGATTATTCAAATTAGTTATAACCAGAAAAAGTAAATTGTTGACATATCACAAAAATATTGTACTTAGGGTTTTCGTGGGTTTTGGGATAAACATCTTAAAAATATATTCATATACTTTTACATTTGAAATATTCGGTTATTCGGGTTTTTCCCTTGGTAGTTAAATAAAAATGTACAAAAACCACAGTGGCTTTTAGAATGGATTTTTATCGATTACTCGCTTTTACTATGCGCCTGCTCGTCGGCACTTTTGCCATCTAGTACATGGGTTTTTTAGGTAAATATAAGTGTTAATGGTCTTTCTGGAAACATTGGTTTTCATGGTAGATAGCAGCTGAGTTTAAACGCGTAGATTTAATTTCTTTTCATGCGATGGTTTCCAAACCAATCTTGCGCAAATAAGCAGAAACTTTTAATTGATTTTCCGTTTTCTATTTCCTAAGCTGCGCTGCTGCAATTAAGATAGGTATTGTTTTCTATATCAGAGCTGTAAATTCTCACCTAGGTTTCCTACTTTAATGGCCTAGAGTTTATTACATCCGTCTTTTTAATTTTGAGATTCTTTCCGTCGTAGAAACAGATGGAATATTTAAGTAGTTTTTGTTTAGCTTCAAAGAGACTTTTTTCCGCTCCTTTGTGTCCTTATCCAAATATTGCGATTCGTGTAACAATAGCACTTCGCACCAGTTACTTCTTAAGCAAGTACCTTGTACAGCTTTGATGATTACAAACTAGAGTATGCTAGAGGTCATGTCGCTTGTTGGCCTGACCTAGAATAAAAGTACTGTGGAACCAAAGATTGTCTTATCCTTGACGTCCGTATAAGCTCGCTCGAAGCAGATCTCCGTGTACCAGGAAATCGTGACGAGTTTCCGTTCTCGCTGCCAAGTCGTCTCTACAGAGTTAGTTCCCCCAGTTGTTATTGCACCGTCCGCGAAGATTCAGTTTCCCAGTTTGGGCGAGAAAAACCTATCGTCACACTACATGATGACGCAAAATGCAATAATGAATTACCCGCACCAACTGAAACGACAGTGTTCCACTTTGCTTTGACTTCTCGTGCCATCTTCAGATTTACTCCTCTCTCAACCTTACCTCTCCGATTTCCATGGAGGGGATGCTGGCATTTAGTCGAAGGTCTAAATCTCACACCAAGTCGTGCACGATGTTTAGTGCATACCGTGGAATAGTGGCCTTCAGAACCTCCAAATAAGCCAACACGAGCTAAAATAAGCTCTTTCTCGGAGGAAACGCATCTATGAGATACATTGACGTCTCTCAAGTGTTCTTTTATGGTATCCATGCACGAAGTTAGGGGTATGAGTCGTTGTCCTCCCGGCGAGGAAAAATCACATTTGGTACTACAGTAATGTTCAAATAAACAAGACAAGTGTGCCATCCTGACTCCCTCAATTCGAGTTCTAGGTTGAATTGAGGGCTTTTTAGACGCTTGCACGCTCAGTACACTAGATAGGATTAACAATATCCGTCACGCTGACTCCTTGAGAGGAAGGAAAAATATTACCGGAAGAGGAAATTCTCTTACAGTTACGTGACATCTCAGATATGTTTATCTCCAGCTGTCACATAACATTGACCCCATTTTAAAATAACTTGGAAAAAGAGTGACCATGCAAACTACACACTTATGAAGGCTGGTCGATACAATAATAACGAAGAAATTATTTTACAACACTGTGTAAAATGCTTTAGCGTGCAGACCACGGGGAAGAAAGTCAATTCTTTGGTACATTTAATAACATCTTGAGAAACTTATTAAATGGTATAATTAGGGAGTACAAAAGAGAGGAAGTGTACAATGTAGACGGAAGTAGGAATTCATTTCATTGTTTCTTCTCGGGCTGGTTTTTTCTCCTTTTCTTTTTTGACGAAACTTTTTTTTTTCATAATTAACTGGAGAGTATCACTACCCGAACTAAAATAGTGAAAACTTGTTTTAATCTCTTACGCATTTCGTCTGAAAATAACAGACTTCATCAAGGAGTTTTACAAGTGCGGTAAACGTTCGTAATTTTCATGTCTATTTTCGACCGTTTCGCTAAGGTGCCTTTTGGATGTTACGTGCACGGGTACGTGATGTGTTGGGGGGTTACAGATTTGGTGAAGCAAGCAGAAAGTATTCGCAACGACGTAATGTGTGCCTACGGTGTATTGTACATGCGTGACATTTTCCGACGTTACACGTACAAGTACGTGTGTGTTTTAGGGTCACGGATTCAGTGCAACAAACACATCACCTACTATACATGTAACGTCAATGGTTTATCATTCACAAAAGTTTCCAAAAAATAGATAAACGACAATGATTAAAAACAAAAACAAAATAATTGCCTATTTGCAGCGCGCAGAGATGTTTAAGCGAGACCTAAACATCTAAACCCGACACCGCGCGCCGAAACTCAATGGTGCTCTCTAACAGCTGGCCGGTAGGTGCACGCAGGAAAGGCCATGACATTCAGGGAAAATAATGGTAGATGAAGATGATGTTTGTAGAAGAAAATCAGGCAAATATAATAGCAGAGGTGATAAGAATATTTTGGTGTTGTCACCTTAAAAAAAGGTCAATTATTTTTTGTTCTTCTCATGAGAGGGTTCGAGGTCACGCTACAAATACCATTTCTGCATAGGATTTCTTTATGGTGGTGAATGATAACAAAAACACCTTCCAGGCTCATTTTCTGGAGAAATAGTGCAATTTATGAACTTGATAGAGCTATTGATATTTCCTCTCAAGCGAGAGAACATAGTTTCTCGCCATCCACCGTATGCAAGACCCGAAGTTGTTGTACACGGGAACTTGCATGTCAAAAAATACGCGGCATGTGACCTCAAAATATCCTTTGCTGTTACAATGTCTTGATTGTAAACTGTGATAATAAACGATCAAATCAAAGACTAATGAATATTTTTTCCGTAAGAGAGCCATGTCTGCTGATTTTTGCAAAATCTCCAAAATAAACGACAGAAGAAAAAAGCCTTACGATTTTCTCAACAATATTTCGCTTATATGCTTCTCTATAAATATGAAATTTCCATTACTACAAAAAATCTCGAAAGTTGTTTACATTTCTTAGCTTCCTAAATCAATTATCTTGTATAACGAGCTACAAAATGTCGGTTTATTTGCTTAAATGGCCGCTTACAGCCAGAATTGCGTGACACTCGTAGTTGAGAAGCTTGTCATAGTCGCAGATTTCAAAAGGCAACCAAGACAAAAATATGGCAGCGCCCAAAAATTTTTTTAATGATTTTCAGAGATGAAACGATGGATTAGAAAGGGGCATTCAAATCAGTGTTGTAGCTTTCTGGCAAGGGGAGATATTGACCTCAAAGTTATCAAATATTCGGGTGAATCGAAAATATCAAAAACTCGGTAATTTGTTCGGCACTGTTGATTGACAAACCGTCAATCAAATAAACTGAAACATGTCTCATGCGTTCCTTAAAGATATACCAACATGTCTGCAAACTGTCAGAGTAATATGTTAAATATAGTTGCAGTGAGAGCTTCATACATTTTACCTATTTTGAGGCGATTTCTTAGTGAAAACCCAAGAAAACCAGGGGTGGTGGTTTATCTCCCCCCCGAAATAACGCAAACAGAAACCACTTTGCAATTTTGAGTTTTGGGGTAGACCCTTTAGACTGGCAAAGTTTCACTGAAATCGGTGAGATGGTATGTAGCACGACTGCCTGATGCTCTCGTGGACACGCACTTAAACTTTTTACCAGAGCCACGACTTGTTCATCGCATTTCATGGCTAAAATTCCGCGCGAAAACAAAAGTACCTCTTCAAGTTTAACAAAATACCTTGGATCGGAAACTAGTTCGTCAGGTCTAATTTCCTTGCTTTGAATCTGAGCACAAATGAAGAATGCCGCAAAGAATTCTTGAAAACTTTTATGCAAGAAATCCAAATTCAGTCAAGTCTTTTGCATGGTTTCCCAATTCACTTTCATTCAAATCCAATTTGTCGTTAAGTAAACCATTCAACGCTACCAACCCGAGGCGATTCCGTTTCTAATAGTCCTGTCTTTTTTATATATCTTCTCAAGACACATTCAACCATATCCAAGCACAGTTGAGCTTAAAGTACTTGGTGACAGATCCTTTTATATGCGGAATTTGAGTGAATCCTTCGATCTGAAGCAGCGCGTCACAACATTTTCTCACCTCTTTTCCAGTTTCGTGTCTTGCTGTTGCAACTATGTGGCATCTGGGGAGTCCTTCAATTAATTCAGAAAAATCGACAATTTACCGGATGGTAACTCATCCAATCCATCCAATATCAATAAAATGATATTGTTGTTTGAATTCTTCATACTTGAGGAAGAAGTTGCTCATCAATGACTTCCCAAACATCGGAATGCATTTCTCGACATTTCAGCAACAATACTGCTTTGAATGCTGTGAAGCCGCAGCCCTGAGGTGCTTGCTTTTTGGTGGCCCAGTCGTAGGCGTACTTTTTACAGTAGGTGGTTTTTCTCATACCAGGTTCTCCTTCAGTCAACGCTATTCTCGGCGCTTAACACTCTTCATATGGGTCTAGTATTGACGACATGTCAACAAATACGTTACTGATTTCTCCTCTCGTTTTCTTTCTTCTGATCACTTTGAGCCTTGTAAAAATATATACGGTGAGAGCCATCCCTCGCGAGTCTTGTACAGCTGGCAAATTCCATTGATAAACTCAGTTGGATCAAAAATACCTAGCAGTAGTAAAATGAATAGGAAATCTAACGAATGCAGCATTGCGAGTAAGAATCTCATATCAATAATCATATGCTCGCAACATGCAGGAAGTTTATCTCCATGGACATGATTAATCGAGCTAGCTTGCCACAAGTCTACTGTATCTAAGCGTTAGATCGTCTGAAGTACTGAACAGAAGGTGCTGGGTTTGAGTCTCAACTGAATAAGAGTCGTACGCTCTCACTGACCATTTCTAGTGTTCCTATTGGTTCTCTCAATTTCGGTTATAGAGAAATGATTTATCTAAGTGTCGCTCAGCTAAATCTATTTTTGGCTGGGAGCAATTACTTCTTTTTGTACACTGGAAATTAACTAAAGCAAATGCTAGTCAACGTCATGTCGGTAACAAAAAATAAAAGTCAAAAAGTTTAATGTAACTTGATTGAATGGGACTTGAATTTGAAGTTTCACTTACAGCACTAGCTTCATATCAACACTTTATGGTCAAGAAAAGGTATAACGTTGCCACAACAGAAAGAACAGCCGGTTACCTTAAAAGTTTCATCATAGGAATTACAGAATTTGTGTTGAAATATCTGCGCTCTGACAGGATCTTTCTTTATGAAAACTCAACTTCGACTGCGGATCTGTTTGAGTAGCCATAATATTGGTTTCTCCGTTCGCTACCACGCAGCAAAACATTTGAACATTAGGGTATAACGTTTTACTGATTTAACTAAATGTTTATCTCATTAGGAATAGAACTCTTAAGAGCGCTTGTCTGTAAAAATCAAACATATCGCGGCAAGGGTGGAAAATTCGATTTCTTTCTTATTTTAATGTTAAATAGGCTTGGCTATAGCTAAAATCCCTGGATACTTTTTTTGGCAAAATAACTTTTTACTACAGAGAAAAATACAAATAACGAAATTCCGTTAAAATCGTCATTTTTAGCAGCAAATTATTGCACGAGTTTGAGGGCTTCGCGTGCAAAAACGAATCAGTATCTCGTCTTTTAAACATTCAAATCTTCTTTTTCGATCTCATAAGACCTCACAAAATGATTTTCGTAAACATTGCGCTCTTCTTTGCGCTTAAAATAATTTAATTTCGAAAGCATGCATTTCTCTTCAGTAAAAATACTTCGTGAATAAAATTAATTTTAACCATGTGCTAAACCTTCAAATGGATTAAACTTTTGGTGGTTAAATTTCGAAAAGATGTTCTCAATATAACTGTAAAAATTTGTTTGGGCAAATGATTGAGAACGATACAAAAGCTTTTCAAAGTCCGTTAAAATGCAGTTATTTGACCTTTTGCGCTCAACATTCCAGTCGCGAGTCACACATATTTTGATATGTTTCAACCCATACGTCGAAAAAGGCCGAAAAATGTTCATAGAAAAATATTTACAAATGCTCTAACCTCATTTGCTGCAGAAGACCGAACCAGAAACCATTTTAGAGTGATTCTCTTGTCATTCGTCGTTCTAGGTCTGTATAAATGATAACGTCCGATGAAACCACCAACCCTGTCGAACACCATCTTGTTGTCAAACGTTCTATATCTTTCTTCACTGTGGCATCTTATTCAACGGTTCAGTTGACTGCGAGTATTGCTCAGTTTACAATGCACTAAAAGATTACATCTGACAGTCTAATTCAATGCCAAACTGAGTTGACTACAAACATGTACGCCCTTTGAGTATTTGGGTTGTCACGCAATACCGGTGACAAAGGAACTTAAGGGGTAGGTGAAGGGCAAAACTCCATATAATTAAGCACTATCGGAATTCAACTCTTGGAACCTAAAAAATATTTTATTCTGTAAACATTTTTGTAATAGTGTCATCTTTGTCCGGTGACAAACAGTAAAATACATTTATTTATTGCAGGGAATTATTCTTTTGTTTTTTTGGCGCTCTGTGCCTGTCGTACCTATTAGGGGTGTTTTTCTTTCCACTAAAATTGCAAGGAATACCCTAATAGCATGAAAGAGAACCTTTTGTACAATTTTTACAACACCATGCTACAAATGTGGCTTATGTGAGGCTGGGGTGCTATGTTCCGTGGCCAATGGGTGGGGCTTGCATAAGGGAGTGGTACTATTAACCACCGTTAACAGACCAACTTCCGTTTAAAACCTTAAACTACAGAGGGGCCGACATATGTGCGCTCGGCACAAAATAAGGTCGATCTCATTTTCAGGACCGGTAAATTTGGAAGCCGACTCATGACTTGCGATATTCTTGGTGCATGAAAGTAAAGGAACAATTTCCGTTTCACGCATTCGATCTCTAGTGTTGTAACCACAAACTCCGCCAATAAGCGACTTGAACGAACAACAACCTTCCATTTTTTATGTAACAAAGTTGACCGTGTAAGTTACTGTATTTGTTAAAAACAAAGTCCGAAGCCCCGCCTCTAAGCGAACAAAAGGGATCGTGTAATTATTATAAACCAGGTTTTGTTTACTTAGGCTTACTATTTTTAGCAGGTACTGAATTTAGCTTTTCAACGAGTATTGGCCAGAGGCCCGATCTCCGCGACTTACATGTAAGAGATTTCAATGTTCACAACAACAAAAAAGCTTACCAGCACAGTGACGTCTTTTTACTTTCCCCTTCCCCTACCCCCTAAAAAATAACTTTCCATTGTATGATTTGCATTGCGTGACGACTCTCCGTATACAAAACTACGTTGACTGCAACATATGTGTAGTGCTACTTTTAAAAGCATCGATTAGATCTACTGCACCACAAACCGAACAACACTCACAGTCAACTGAACCGCTGGATAAGATGCCACAGTGCAGAAAAATGTTAAACGTTTCACAACGAAGGTTGGTGACAGTTCGCAGATTGACAGGCAGTTTCATCGGATGTTATAAATACGACAAGCGACAAGATAACCACAATAAAATGGTCTTTGGATCTCTCTTCTACGGCAAATTAGGTTAGAGCATTTGGAAATGTGTATCCATGTAAATTTTCCGGCCTCATATGGGTTGAGTCGTATTAAAGTATGTGTGTGACTCGCAACTGGAATGTTGACCGCGAAAGGTCAAATAACTGCATTTTAACGGACTTTGAAAAGCTTTCGTATCGCTCTCAATCATTTGCCCAAAGAAATTTTTACAGTAATATTGAGAACATCTTTTCGTAATTCTACCGCCCAAAGTTTAATCCATTTGAAGGTTTAGCACATGCTGAAAATTAACTTTATTCACGAAGTATTTTTACTGAAGAGAAATGCATGCTTTCGAATTTAAATTATTTTAAGCGCAAAGAAGAGCGCAATGTTTACGAAAATCATTTTGTGAGGTCTTATGAGATCGAAAAAAAAGATTTGAATGTTTAAAAGACGAGATAGTGATCCGTTTTTGCACGCGAAGCCCTCAAACTTGTGCAATAATTTGCTGCTAAAAATGACGATTTTTTCACAAAGTACTTTTACTGAAGAGAAATGCATGCTTTCGAAATTAAATTATTTTACACGCGAAGAGGAACGCAGTGTTTACAAAAATCGTTTTGTGACGTCATGTGAGGTTGAAAAAGAAGATTTGAGTGTTAAAAAGACGAGATTGTGATTCGTTTTTGAATGCGAAGCCCTCAAACTTGTGCAATAATTTGCTGCTGAAAATGACGATTTTAACGGAATTTTGTTATTTGTTTATTTTTGTCTGAAATAAAAAGATATTTTACCGAAAAAAGTATCCAGTGATCTCACATTAAAATAAGAAAGAAATCGAATTTTTCACCCTTGCCGCGAAATTTAGAATTTGTCTGATTTTTACAGACAAGGGCTCTTAACTCGTACACTCGAAGCGAGAAATTGAGGTCAGGATATTGAAACGAAAGCTATCCTCGATCACAAACTTTGCTCTGTTCCAGGTTCCTGTTACTGACTTGTTGGATACGAGATTGGTATAGCCAACCCACATCAGGTGCGGACTCATGGAACAACTGTTAAATATAATGCACATATTGTAATAAGTATTGTACGAAAGACAAAGGTTCTTTGATTACAGCTTACGTCCATTTCTTAAGCAAGACTACTGAATTAAAAAATGTAGGGACTTGGAGTCATTAGCCGGTTCTAGGCGTTCAGTTAGTAAAACAGAACGAAGTAAATGAACTGCGCGATACCAGCAGCAAAACAGCACGCGACCCGACCCACCCCTCCCCCGTTTTTTTCACTCAGCTGCCATCATCGTATCATTTACTGTTACGCTTTGCATTTATCAAGAAATGTACGTGAAACGATAAGTAGTCTTATCTCAGCCAAGACAATACTCTGGACGCCGGAAATATCAGGGAGTTCCAGTATCTACATTGTAAGTCCCGTCGCCAATCCATATATTTCCTCTTTCGTGACAAAGCGCAGTTTACGTGACAATAACTACCCGTAATTCCCAACGGACTAAGTTTTGTTGACTGTTCCAAATTTGTATGGTCAGCACTCGTTCTCATTATTTTTGTTTGATCCTCTCTTGGATACTCGAAAGAACACTAATGATTTAATAGACATCTCCAGGGGGAAAACCTGTGCATTTTAATGAGCGAGCGCTAAAATATCATCACACTTTTGCGAATTATGCTCCTGATTGTGACGACAAATCCTTGGAGATAATGTTATTTACATGCAAGGTGATAAACATCGATAAGATTCCCAAAGAGATCGAGGAGTACTCGAGTCTTACACATGGTACAGAGTTTCATTTTATTCCTATACGCTATAACTATAGCAAATGTTTTAGATCAAAACGTCTATTGACAAAAAAGGACATTTACATCAAACTACGCGACTTATGATTAATCCTGGTCAGTCAGTCCTGACTCAAGACTACCTGCGTAAGTCTCCGAAGTTAAGTGACACCCCTATCGAAGTGCAAGAGAAGTGGCTAAAGACCCTCTTTAGGGTTCTCGTTATGATTGGATATTTTGCAAGAGTATATCAAAAGTTAACCGGTGAACACAGCAGTTAAACGACAGAAATAACACTCATGACACCCCTACCAATTCAACTACCTTATCAAACAGCGTGCAATATTCTTACCAAGGAACGACTCCTAAGAGTAATACAGAATTATCCTTAGTAAACTTACTTAATCTCACTACAGACAACAACTAAGCTCACCTATGACAAAATCTTTGTATCAGAGCTGGACTCGTGATATCGTACAGAGTGACGGATTTGGTAAAAAAAGTCATATGTTCCTCTTTAACAAATTTACTCATTTTTCCTTACAAAACCATTTCTGCTTTACCAAAAACTTCAAATCTTAAAATTTAGTTTCTTTTAGTCCTACCATACCTTGTATTTCACAAAGTTTAACATTTTGTTTCCCACAGAAATGTTAGAAAAAAGTCATTTTCCCTCTTGGCAAAAATCTTCAAAAACTTTAGATAAAATTTTCAGTGAATTCATATCCCAAAGTTTCGACGATTGCATAAGAAATGTGCCAAGTATAATTTTTATAAGAATACCGTTAATTTTAGTAATACTTTCAATGTAAAAGTATTTCGAGTTGGTATCGCAGGAAAGTGTGGTCTTAGGGAAAGCAATTTATGCGCCAAGTATAATTTTTATAAGAATACCGTTAATTTTAGTAATACTTTCAATGTAAAAGTATTTCGAGTTGGTATCGCAGGAAAGTGTGGTCTTAGGGAAAGCAATTTATGCGCCCGATAGCTTTCCTAAAAACAAGCGGCTTTTGCGGCAACTATGGCACTCAAAGCGAGATCCCATCAATCTAATTAATTGGATTATTTTCCACGCTGTCCTGCCTTTCAGAATTGAGTCAGAAAATAAACTGAACTCCAACGCTTGTGTCGAGCATGCGTGTAAGTGCTAAACATGTAAAAGAGAAAATGAGAGTATACTTTATCGGTAAACTGATAAAAGCGTTACAGCGTTTAAGAATATAAAATCAATTGAGTTATAACGTTCCAGCCTAATTGCTTAACACAAAATGGCTTTTTCTACCAAGTAAGCGTGCGAGGACAAGATGATTCAGCCCTGAAACTTGTTGTGGCAAAGTGTTCAAACTATTAGCCGGTCATATACCGCGGAAATCTATCTAACTACACCATTAAATCCTCGACGTTTGCATACAACTGCTCGTCGTACATTGTCATGTTGATCAGCTTCTGCAGAAAAGAATAATACAATAATCGGCATATGATGCATCATTAAAAAAGTGTTCCTCTTACGTTATAAGCGTTTATCCTCCCAAGTGGTCAGCTTTTCACATCAAAACAAATTCAAGAAAGTATTTTATGGTGTCGTTTGCTGCTCTTTGTGCGTCTCAATACAATTTTGCAATAATCCTACCATATTTTAAATAACCATAATGAGTCAATTGTCGCAAGGACATTCTAGTTCGCTTTTTCGTGGAGTGCTAGCTTCAGTGACATAACAAGAAGATGCAATCCCAACTTCGTAAAAAGTACGCTATCTAAGCTAAACGCTATTAAGTTTAAAACCCTAATTAGCTAAGCCTAAGTTAGTCGGTCTAACGTGAAAAGAAACTTTCATGTTGAAGAAAATTCTCACCTTGTGTAGGGTTTCCATGTCCTTAAGCTGATTTTTCAATTCAGTAAAAGTTGGTCTTGCATCTGGGTCATTCTTCCAGCATTTCATCATAATCTGATACCTGGTATTGTTCAAATTATCTATTAGAGATTTAAAGAACGTTTCCTTGTAGGATGAGAGAGAACGAATTGAAAAAACACTTATAATTCCTCATCAACGTGATGTGGTTTAGGCATCCTGTATCCTTCCTGAAGTAAGTTTGCAATTTTTCTTCCATCCATTCGTGGGTAAGGTGAACCACCTGGAAGAGCCATAAGACCATCGAAATATAAATGTGACGAAAAAAAGACCTTTACTGAAACACCACCCATGTCATTTGATGTGGTTTGAAGCTCATTACGTTTGTCTAAGTGAACACCTTACATTGCTTAATTGAACATGGTATATAGCAAAAAACATATACAGGGCCTTATAAATTTCCATCGATGTTACCTATGGTAAAAATCTCGTACAGCAAAACCCCATAACTCCATCTGCAGAAAGACAAATCAAACAAATATATATTGGGTGACTGAAGACATAAACATTTTATACGACAACTAAAATATATGTATTCTTTGACAAAGCATAGAATTCATGTCCTGATTGAAACTGATAAAACTTAGAGAAAGATGTTTTTCGTCTTGTCACGATTGTGGGACGAAGGAAAAATTTTGAGTCCCCACGAGGAATTGAACCTCAGACCTTCGGAATCCGCGCTCCGATTCTCTCTCTTATTTTTATTTACAAACATGACTCTATCGACATTGCTGATCCTTGCAGTATGCAAGAGAGTAGAGTCGTAGAGTCTCTGTGGCTCAGTGGTATGAGCATCGGAGCGCGGAATCCGATGGTCTGAGGTTCGATTCCTCATGGGGAGTGAAGAATATTTTCATTGTCCAACGCTCGTGAGAGGATGAAAAACATCTTTCTCTATTTCATTACCGAGCCCAAAACTTACCCTTCCTCTTATTCTATTGGTAAAACTTGTTGGAAAATTGCTACGGGTAATAATCGGGTATACTTACACATCACTTTTGGTGGTATATTTACCATACATCAAGGCCTCATAAGCTGTCCACTTCACTGGAAGACGGCCCTAAAGATTTCAAATATCACTTTTTGAAACAGCTAAAAAAATTATAGGAAGCGACCGGTCAAAGACAGTGATATTTAAAATTATACTCGTATACAAATGGCTGTTTTCATTATGGTCCCATCCAAGGATTTTGTCATCGAAATCAGGAGTATATCAGCTTTATCACAACAATGATTGTGAAAGATAATTAAACTGAACCATATATAGTGCCGCCCCCACCTCCCCTCTTTCTTGATTACCTTAGTCTTACGTTCATAAATATTTTCCTTCTGCACATCTCTGGCCATTCCGAAGTCGGTCACTTTACAAGTTTCCTTTTGTCCAACCAACACATTACGAGCCGCAAGGTCTCGGTGAATGATCTAAAAAAGCATTGATACGAGAGCAAAAATTAGCGATTTCAGAAGAAAAAGAACTGAAATGAAATGATTCAGATAGGAAAATAGAAATATCCAGCGACATAATATGGTGTGTGTATTTCTCTTTCTTCCAGATGGCAGAAAATTAAAATTACTATAGTTACTGCTCCATCTTCCAAAGGGAAGCAAACTACTTCATTTCTGCAATACCTAATTATTTCATAGAAAGCTTATCTTAAGATTTTATTCGAAATAGGATTCTGTAATGTAGCAGTTTAGCAACCAAAGACGAATTTTTGAATTTCAAGTTTTAATTCCTTTTCTTTCTTGTCACTAAAATGGATATTCGTTGTACACTCAGTTTAGGCTGAATAAAAGATCCTATTCATTCACATCTCTGCCTTTGCCTACACGAGAAAAACCCAGATATTTAATTTCGATGAAGTGCACTTGCAGCGATGCACAAATATCGCCATTCGCACACTGAAATATAACTTTGGTGATGACGTCAAAACTGGTAGGGTTCCCGGAAACAGCCTCAACGAGACGGTAAGAATAGTTTGCATATCCCGGGCGTGATCTTGTGAAGACATATTATTCTATGCAAGACATAGCTTCACATGACGATACACCTTACAAGAAGGTTTTAAAATTGTTCTTCTTTGGTGCCTTAATTGTGTAATTAACTTACAGATTTTGAGGACAAATAACTCATTCCATCAGCAATTTGCCAAGCAAACTTCATCAGCTGCTGTGACGTCAGATTTGTTTGTGGTTTGATATCCGGGTCTTTGAAGTAAGTGTCTTTTAATCCACGGCTCTTTCTCAGGTAACCCAGCAGATCCCCAAAAGGCACATATTCAATCAAAACCAGCAGCTGTTCTGAAGAAATTAAACAGTTTCATTTACATATTTCTCCCTCTAAAAAAATTAGCAATAAGTAAAATAAATTAATAGCACAGTCAGGTTCAATACTTTTGAAGAAATCGCACGAAAACAAGATGTAGTTTTGCGAAGAAAAGCTGAAAAACTTTGTAACGGTCTCATAAGAAGATACAGGCCAAATATTCCCTTAGAAAAAACGATTCTGCTCATACAACAGAATGGCTTGTACAATGGCAAATATTTGGTCTTCGTCTATCAGCAAATCCAAGAGCGTCGCTGTTAGCTAAAAAAGGATAAAATTACCATATGCGATGGTTGTTTGTTGTGCGCGATTGTGAAGCAGTGAATCTTCCATTGAAGCAAATTATCAATGACGAGAAAGCGTTACAGAGTAAATCAGATGCAAAATGTGTACAGCAAAATTGGACCTCATAATCAAAGCTTACCAGATTCTGTAACGTATCCCAGAAGTTTAATGACATAAGGATGTGGTTTCAGCTGCTTCATTGTGTCAAGTTCTTTCATCAAATCTCTCTTGTCCGATTCAGTAGCGTTTGCTGGAGCGTTAAAAACAAGGAGTAAAATTTGGTTAACGGAAATAATATGCAAAATGTCGAATAGCGACATAAGTTATCGAATGACAAATAGCCAAAAGTTACGTAACCCGGTAACAGTATATGACTGTAGGCCAAGACTGTCATTCAATTTACAGTTCAAGAACTCACTTTTAAGCATCTTAATAGCCACTGTGGTCGCTTCAGGACTCCCTTGAAGTCCTACTGCTGTTCCCTTGGCAACCTGACCAAAAGCACCTTTACCAATAATTTTTTCTATGGTCACGTGGTGTCTTGGAACTTCCCAGCAGCGTGTTAACGGATGAAGAGGCACGTAATCAGCACCTGAAGCGGTACTTTGTGCTTTTCTATCATGTTTGTTGACTTCTATGAGATCCATGTATTCCGCAGGAGGCTGAGTGAGTTTTGCTGAATCGGGTAGACTTGGTTCGCTATCTTCTAATCCTGTTTCATTCTATTAAACCAACATACCGTTAAGGTATTCATATACAAATCTGTTATTAATCCCAATAAAATTTCCTACATTTTCATAAAAATCAGTTTACCCGTTTTCATCAGACAAGCGTTTATATTATTTCATAGCAAGAGATTATTATAATTATTAATAGTTTATAATCTCTTGTCCTTAAATATTACTAATGTTTATTATTACTAACACTTTGTTCTCTGCCATTGAAACTATCATGTCCAATGCAGTGATCGAGGTTCATGGCATATTCGTTGAAGCTACAAACCGCAACATGAAGATCGTCGATTGGTAGTGCGATTTTTTGACAAATGCACACACGAAAAAAAAACTCTTGCTGTACTAAGCTCCTGGACTAACGCTTGGAAAATAAGGCATCAAGATAAAGAGACGGCCAAAACGGCGTGAAAAAAAAATCATTTACAAAACAAATATCAACCGGGTGCAGACCAGTTTGTGATCTATGAAGTGAAACCACGCAGTTTAACCAGGGACAACCGAAGGAAAATCGATGGAGCAGCTTGGTAAAGGACATGATCCCAGGACAAAGATCCTATCGAGTCAAACTTCTCCCATATTTTATTGTGCCTGTCATTAATGCATTATGCCTTTTTGGTAGAACTACACCTTTTTTCCTTCCTATTTGTTGCAAGCGTTTATTTCCTTCTAGAGAGTAGAGGTAAAGTGAGATTACATAATTACTGGCCACACTAACATGACCTCAATGTCTTAGCTGTAACTTACGTAGGAAACACCTCTTTCATCTTCATAAGTCCTACAATTGAGAAAGCATAAAAATATTTATTTTGAGCAAAGAATCAGTTTAAGTGGAAGTTTGTTATACGATGATACCATATCTGGAACATTACATCGACACAATCCAAGTGCCAAATTCTTACCTCTGTTTCCCAACAGCGCCTGAAAAAGAACGAAAGGAAAAAAAAGACAAATGATGTGGATGTGGGTCAAGATTTGCTTTTGCTTAATGATGAATCTTGCAGCCAAACCCTCTATCATAGATTATGAATTTTTTACCTACCTTTCTTATGTAGCCAGATTATGTAAATAATTAGAAGAACGATTGTGAAGGCAAGAACCCCATTTATGGCTAACGAGACGTTGTTAGAAGGGCAGTTACATTCCTCAGGACCTAAAATGATTCAGTTTACAAAGCTTGATCAGATAACATTCAAACAACATTTACAGTGATCGTGGTCAATACACTGCTCTCACTACATAGCTTATGCTCTAGAACGAAAACCGTTAACTCGAACTGGCTAGGTACTAAGGAAAAGCAAGGTGCTACTCTCTCTATAATAATTTTTAAAAGTAAGATTTTGTTTAATTTTATAAAAACAACAACAGCGACGAAAATAAAACTTGGAAATATATGACTCACAGAAATGACTTGTTTAATTAAACAGATACGGAATACAATTAAAAATTTCCATCTTCGGACGAATACGTGTAAACACTTAACAATAATATTTCTTTGTAAAACATACTTTTTGTTGTGCTTTCCGAGCCGTCTGTGGTTATAAAAACTTGTTTAATTGATTCTGGATCGACTTTGAAACCTCCGAATTTCTCTTGCCTTGCAGCATCCAACAGGACAGTCAAAACATTGCTGACGACTACACTTCGATTGAATCTCATCATGAAGTCGTGAACAACACTACCACACCTAGGTAAGGGGGGAAGGATGTAAAATGCCGAATCGAACACCGTGCCGAAAAGAGTAAGACGCATAAGTTATGACTGATTATACAGTCTGTATTACACAAAAAGAAATCGTGGGAAGAGTTCATTTAGGTTTGCAAGTAGTTTCTTCATCCGCTTTTACATTCTTCACCTATTCAAACATTTGTCGCCTTTGGAGAATATAACCACATTTCCTATTCCTAATATTTTTTTATCTCTCCCTTGAGAAATAGTTAAACAGGTTATGAATTAGGAGAACCTCAGTACTTAAGTTACGCAACGTTACACTTGGGGATATAGGCGTCTTGTGGTCTGTTTTGACTTATTATAAATGAGTAGCCTAAAGATTAGAAAGAATCCAGCGCCAAACAAAGTATGTTACCGAAAGGACAGAGTTTACAACGAGAGCAATTCGACGAAGGCGCACCTTGTGTGACAAAAATTGAGTAACCACTCGGCTTCAATTGCATAATCAGTCATAATTTATGCATCGTGCTCTTTACGGCACGGTTCTCTATTCGGCATTCTATTTGTACTTTGGTGACTTTTAAGTGTTAAAATACATTGAGATTTAACCAAAAGAGTATTTTTGATCTAATAAACCAAGGTAAATAAAATTAATTCTTGTCATTCTGTGTCAATCTGTTGCTGTACATTAAATAAAATGTACTTCAAATGTAGATTATTTTGCATTAACTAAGATTTTTTAGAGCAGAAACACCAATTTTAACACTAAAATACGCCAAACTGAGATAAAGCTCCTCTCCGCCCCAGAACACAGATTTGCGTTAGCGTTTGTTGTTTCAGTGTTGAGACAAACTGCACCTTACCTGGTGTTCACGGTGTTGGCGGATGAGCAGCCAAACTTAAAGGCAAGTTGACAAGCCTAAAAGCACATTTAAAGAAAAAAATGTAAATTTGAATACTTGTTTCGTTATTGAAGATCGTTCAAAATGTCTTTTTGTTTTAACAGAAATATTGAGATTTCGGTCAACAATAGATTGATTAAGATTCCCTTTTAATGACAAATATTATGGCAGTATTCTATACACTCCGGTACACGGATCAAGTAGATTATCTAACCATTTCTGGAAATTTCGCAGCAACTTCTGAACGTCTGCTACAGTTCTCCTGTATCGTCGCTGTCAGGTAAACTTCTGTGCTTTCTGGAGCTGAAGAAAAGCCGTGTCCTTTTACATTTACGAAAAACATGAAGAGCCTTGGTTCACAAAAACTGCCGAGAAGTGGTTCCATCTAACAATAATTCAGCTTGAACATTGTTATGACTGTTTGTGAGTCTACAGTCCTTCGCCAAGTTCCAGGCCTTCAGTGACCTAATTCACTCTTTGTCTTTTACTCAAACTCATTTTGTAACACTAAAGAACATGCTATTATGATTACATAGTTTTACATGTAAAAAAGAAAACGCCTATAAAAGAACATTTACCTGCGGGAGTTGTTTGGGATGAGGTGGCAACTGTACTTGAAACTGTTTGAACTGGGAAAAAACAAAATACGTTTTAAAATGATCGACAAGCAATTTTAAATTTTATGTCATCATCATACCAACCTCAAATAACATGATAATGATAATACGTTAGCTTAAGTCATTTTTTTCACGGAGGTTCAGGGTATGATAGACTATACTTCCTAGAGCTGTTATTATTATTCATATCATCGTCACCAACATTATTATCATTGATATTATTATCACTATCATCCTCATTATAATTATTATCATTGTCAACACTATCACTAAAAAGTACCCAAAATGTCAGAGAACTACAGAGAGGTCCATAAAATCTTAGAGCAAAACTGACCTTTTTAGTGTTAAACTCAATAGAACATAGAATACTAATACAAATACCTAAGTACACATATAACAACAAGACTAACGACAGAGCTACATAAGAAAGAAACGAACTTACAATTTGTGGCGTAATCAGGTCTGGTAATGAAACTCTTAAACAAAAGTTACACGGCGCTAGCAAAAATTAACGAAAAGACTGACTTGTCTGAAATCAATTATTAATGAAAAGTATGTAACTAAAACAAAGCTTGTACTAGCAAGAAATAAAGTGCTACAAGCATTACGTAATTCGTACACAACCTCATGCAAAAAAGCGGGCTTAATTGAATCGAAACAGAACATCACAACAGTAGTTCAATTGAAAGAAAAACAATATAAAATATTTCCGCAGTTACTTGACAATAGACAGAAATTCAAATTCTAGTTGCTACATTCCAACCCCTTAGGTTTACTTTAAGTATTGGACGATCGGATCGGATAAATCCATCCCTTCCTGGGTGAACTTCGAGAACGCGACCCAAAGGCCGCCGACTGGGGTGAACTCTTTCATCAGGAATTAAAATCAGGTTACCAACAGCAAAACTATGAGGTGGTCTGATCCATTTCTGCCGTTCTTGCAAATTTAACAGATATTACGAAAACCATCTCCTCCAAAATACGCCAGGAAGGTATTGAACCAACCTTCAGCGACGATAGCAGTACAAATCATTCTTAACGAAGACTCCTGGTGGCAAATTTAAATGCCATCGAAGTAACAAATGGTCAGTAGTCGAAGATGGTGAATCAATAGGACTGCATGCCATTGTTAAGAGTCAATGGTCAACCATTGAGAATTCCATCAACTCCTGCCATCAACGTGGGCAGTGCGTCTCCAAAACCAATTGTTGCTTAAAAAGGGCTCTTAAGATCTTTCTCACTAAACGAATCATACGTTCCCAGACTCCTCCCATGTGTGATACTTCAGGGAAATTAAATTTCCTCTTGATGATCTTCTGATGATGATCAGGGATTTCTCTCTCTCCGCTACTTAAGTTCATACCATTGTTACCTCTTATCATTTTTGGCGTCCCTCTTCTGCTGATGAATCTGCATAGAGCGCGAATAAACGATTCTGTTTCCAGAGACTCGGTCACTTCAATGTAGATTGCTCGGATAGTTAAGCAAGAGAAAAGACACCATAGCTTTTAACTGTACTTCTGCCTTGCTTCACATACAGTGGGCCAAAGGAATCTATGCCAACGTTAGAAAACAGGGGTTTATCTGGAATAAGCTTGTTGCCAGGTAAATCTAACATCAATAGTTGGCCCTTTGCAGCATTTTGTTTTTGGCATGTCAAACAGTTACTGAGTACTCTTCAAAGAGCAGCCCGTCCATTAAAGATCCAGTACTTTTTTCTCAAACTGGTCTGGACATATTCTTGACCAAGATGACCCACAGACTAATGAACATCCATAATGAGCAGTTTGGTAACATGGTGCTTTGAAGGTGACAGCAATTGATGTCTCGATTGGTAATCTGATGAAGAATTTTGAAGCCGATCACCGACTCTCAATATTCCCGCTCCATCCAGAAATGGTCTCAATTTGTACACTGAACCAAATGAGCCAATAATCTTCGATTTACGCTTCTCAGATTCGCCTGGGCTCAAGTCTGGGAGGGCATTAAACACTGGCGAGAAAGCTAATTTTTACACGTATGTGATGATTTGAGCCTCTGCATGTCGTAATTCGTCCATCGACAGTCGTCCACAAGGTAATGGATCAACAGGATCCTCTTGTAAGTACCTCTTGCTCTTAAGGAATTTTTTTAAAATCTCAGACTCCAAGCAACTCCCTTCTTAAGCTTAAACCATGACGAATATTGCAGAACCATTAGGTTCAGTGGTCCTTCATGAGGTCCCCTCTATGAGAGTAACATGCTTTGTTCGAGCTTGACCCTGACCGCTCGGTCTGACTAAAGAGACTGGATAGGTGGGCTACGATGTTTCACTTTCCTAGAGAAACTTAGGGCCTCTGAACCAAACCTCCCTCTTTAATAACTCCTTTACCGTTAGTCCTCGGCTGGCATCGTCAGCTAGGTTGATGCTTGTTGGCACAAAGTTCTACTGGGAAGGTTCTGAGCCATCATGTATCACTGTCAGGCAATTGGCCACAAACATGTAGAATCGTTTGTCTCTTTGCTCGTGATATATTGGAGGACAGCCCTGGAGACTAACCAAAACACTGTGTTGAACTTCTGATTCATTCTGACAGCTAAAACAGCAGCTGACAATTCCAATCTGGGTATAGTCATCTGTTCCACGTGAGCCAAGCGAGATTTCCCAGCGAGGAGACTGCAGTGGGTGCGGCCATTTTCAAAGACGAGTTTTGTATATGAAACAGTCCCATAAGCAATCTGAGAGGCATCTGCGAAGTGGTGAAGCTCTGCATTTTGTACCCAGCCAAAGTCGATTGTTTTCAAACATATTGGTAAGGCAACTCTTATAAGCATAGGTACATCACATAGCCATCATCTCCAAAACTGACATTACTTTCCCACTATCTCTTCATCCCAGGTGAGTCCTTGTTTGCAGAGATCTTGAAGGAGCTTTTTAGCGAGTAAGGTGATTGGCGATACTATGCCAAGTGGATCATAAATGGAGCTATTCACTGATAGAATCCCTCTTCGTGTGAAGGCCTTATCCTTTAGTACCATCTTGAAAGTAAACATGTCGCTATCCATGTTGCACTGAACACCAAGGGTTACTTCAATAGGAAGCACACAAGAATTTGAACACAAATCCAAAATTGATGAAGCTCTGTCTGAGGTTGGAATGGTTTTGAGGACTTGCCTCCTGTTACACAAGCATTTAGCCAATTGAAATCCACCTCTTGACAATAGGACACACAAATCTTCTCTCAATTTACTGGCGAGTTCATTGGTTACACCGATTTAAAACAGTCATCCACCTAAAAGTTCTTCAATACTGTGTTGATCACTTCATTGAGCCGCCTTTCGAAGACCAAAATTTTTCCAACTTGGTGAAGACGTGCCACCAAAAATGTGTACTCAACAGGCTCCTTAGATAAGTCATCGTCAGGCCACCAAACAAACCTCAAGGTATCACCATCGTTTGGATCAACCATTACTTGATGGAATATGGCTTCAATGCCTGAGGAGAGAGGTACTGGCTCATGAAGAATTCTTAAGACGACACCAAGCGGGCTGTTAGTCAAGTCTGGACCACTGAGTGATTGGTCGTTGAGCGATGTCCCTTTGTATCGGTTTGTGCAGTCAAACACCACTTGCAGTTTCCCAGGCTTATTAGGATTGAAGGCAGCATATAATTGACTGGTGATATCTTGACTCGAGGTTGTTCATTGTGGTTTTTTTAATTTTGGCTCATTTTCGCAAACCAATATTTGAATTCACTTTGACAACATATCAGTTCAACTGATACTGACATCATACACTACATCTGAAGAAAACATTCCCTATCCTCGAAATTCTGTTCAAAACATCAGGAACATTAACAAAAGTCTTCATCTGCCTGAAAATACTGCTAACTAGTACACGTGTTGATCGTCACGCACAACACGTCAACCTCATTACCAGGGTCTCTATTCCTCCCTGTTCGGGGTTGTAATGATTCACTGTGTGGGGAGTTTTATTGACGCAATGTAAACTAGTATAAAACATTTTTCCTGTTTTGGATTATAAATCAAAAGTACTTAAAAATGCTCAAATATGTTTCTACTTACCCTTTATGTTAAGTCTCACAGTGGCTTTTGCTCCATCTCCAACGTCATTATGTGGGATACATTTGTACTCGCCATAGTGCTGAGATCGATTGACGTTATTGAGAGTATACTCACTGTTGCTGTTCTCGCGTAAGAGGCTGTCATTGAAATAGAACTTGTAAATTGACACTTGTGGCACAGCAGCCATAATTATGCACTTGAATGTAACAGTGTCTCCTTCAGTGACGGTATTTTGTGCAGCATCGGTCGTGAGCCTCGCACCTTCAGGTTTGTCTAAAAATTTAAATCAAATCAAAATCTCAATCTCAGTTTATTTCATCGCTCATACATTTCGCCTAGTTATAAATCATAACCCCTTTCAATAGCCTAGAGAGTGCATGATAATGCAACAAGGAAGGGTTAATCTTGTATCGGTCCATGGAGTGCCTTGGGCAGAAAATATAACGCTTTTGAGATGGAAAATTGTAGCAAGACATTCACCTATGGTTAGAATGCTGACTATAAGCAAAACACTTTAACTTACACATTGCACACTGAAAAATAATTGCATTACTGCGGCAAGAAAAATAACACCATCTATGTTGTTACTTGGATAGCTACTTTCAAATTCTCTTTTAATAAAAATGAGCAATTTGTGAAGTCCAGCTTTATATTTTAACGGACATGAAAACGTTGTCGCTCATGAAAAATTTTTGATGAAAATCCTTGGATTTGAGAAAGGAGACGTGTACAACAGTGCCCTAGACGCTACACGTGAGAGGATCTCATCTCGCAAAAAAGCGGAAACCCAATTTGAATCTAAGACATTCCTTATTTTCCTCAATTGGTACCAGGATGATATATTTATATAAGAAATTCCTGAGGAACAGAGCCTCCCTTCATCAATCTAAGAGAAATCTTAAGTCAAGGGCCTCATAAGCTAGATGCCTCTAGGTAGAGGAGCATCTTCAAAATCATCACGGACTTTTGGCTCGACTCCACCACCAAAAATTAATTTTTTTGTCAAAAATCCAAGCTTCCTCAAATATGCTGTTGCAAAGTGCTTTAGCAGCAGCAGAGTGAAAAACCAAAACGAAAAACCAGGGAGATTTTGGTCAGGTTGTGTTCATACTATCGTGGCTCGTTTTACTTCCTGAGAGTCTGATTCAGGCTAAAGAAAACTACAATTGTGATGATAAGTATTTTAAGTGTGCACGGGCAATAGTATGTAAACTGTTTGTTTGAATGAAAAACTTTAGGGAAACTGAACGAAGGTAAGAATTCATTACAAATTCCTGGATACCTCTATAGTAATTCTACCACGTTGCAAAGAAGGCGATCTCTCGGACACAATTCCGGATATTTTGCCATACTGTATTGATATCATTTCTACAATTTCTGCTTACTAGCATCGTAATTAGATGCTGAAAGTAAATGAAAATACACCAGTACGAGAAGAACAAGAAGTGTTATCAAGTTCTTAAAACATATTTTTGAATGCGATATTTTAAATATGGTTTTAGATTTCTAAATCGTTCCCTTATTCTGTCAACCTAACTCTTTTAGCTGATCCAAAAATGTTAAAAATTTGAAATGATTTTTTAACCAGAAATGGATAACCGTACTTGTGGTAGAATAGTATGGTTTTAGATATTGTCATAGTAAATCAACAGCCGAATTATTGCACTTTTTTATTACACTATGTTCTAAACTTTAGACCAAAAAAAAAAGTTCGTAATAAATAGAAATTTTAGACACAATTCTTAAAACTGTTTGTTTCAAATTGTAAAAAACCAACACTTCTAATTTTTGTTTGCCTAAAGGGGTTAGGTACCCTACATACTAGGGTGACAAAAGTTGTTCTGCTTTGCCGAAACAAATTTTGTCTGCAATAAAATTTAAAATTCTATTATTTCGTGCGCACTTGCAAACAACTAAATATTTGATAACCACAAGGTCCATCACATTAAAATTGAATACCTTTCTTTAGGTTCTGTTCGAGGGAAAGGTTATGTTAACATGTAAAAACTGTAATTCTTTAGGGAAACTGTTGCCTCGTGATGACAATTATTGCTCATATTTTATTCTATTTTTTTCTTTGTTCTTCTCTTTGTCGTCCTTCGTCTTCACAGCCCGATTGCAGCACAAAAATTAAATATTTTGGTAGGTTTCTGTGTGAATAGCCTTTCTTAAAGTGAGATAAAATTTACTTGATTGACAGGAAGGCACCAAAGAAGTTTTCTACGGCTTAAACTTTTTGTAGAAAAAAAATGCGCACTGATAGACAGAAATTCGCCCGATGCATCCGAGCTTTTGATGAGTTTTGACGAATTGTATGTCACACTTTCTCCACCAATGGAAAAACGTTTTGGAATTGGAAGGTACTTTGTATGAAATAACAAAACTCCGAGTTTTTGTTTATTTCCTCTAAGTATCTACATTATCAACAACTAAACCTAAGCGCAACTACAAATTTTTTCTAAAGCATTTCCTCCTTACAACAGGCCTTAATTTCATTGGCTGAAGACCTAAATAAAAGTGAAATGATACTCGTTTTACCTCGGAATTTGCCCGCAACAAAACGACCTTCAAATTTTTATTTGAAAAAGAAGTCAACGAAACAAGATAAAAGGTCGACTTCACCCTTTGCACTTGAAGGAATATTTGTTTATTTGTACAGGGATACAATGGATATTACATTAGCTGAACATGTTGGTGAGCAATTCGTTGCAAGTGATCATGGGGGCTGTTATATGGCTGTTCAGGACGACTGCTGTGAATCTGACGGAAAGGTTGAAAGTGTTGCGAAGACTGTTGGGCTGAAGTTTTCGCTACTTTAAAGCTAGCGACAAAAGTCTGCCACATTTTCTCAGGTGGAAAGACGAAGGACGAGAAGTGCATTGAAGATTGATCGGGTTTCTGTGGCCCAAAATAGGTGAAATGTGGCGACAACTAAACCGGCTTCACATAACTAAGTATATTGGCTGTCGTCGTGGAGGGCACTACCTTTCTACTCTCGTCATAATCCCCAGAGTATTGACGCCAAGAGGACAATTTTCCCACCAGGGGCCCGTTTATCGGACGTCCAGGTAGTTTAACGGGCCCGTGAAGCTTTTTTGTTTTATTTTAGATGTGCGTTTCAAAACGTTTGAGAGGTATACAATAAAACTTTCCGCTAAAGAGATAAAATTAACTGATTAGGGTGCCAGAACCTGCTCCTCTGTTCTTTAAATTTTTATTTTAAAACATGACTTTGCGCCCGTTAAGTTAAGAGGCCGGCAAAACGTGGAATTCTCGTCAGTTCGTCCACGGTACGAGAGCGTGAGAGCAGCAAGGTTATACTATGCAGCGGACTGTTTATTGCCAGCTGATTCGTGGCACCAAAAAAGCCAAGCGTCTGGAGCTAGCTCAACGCATCTTAGAGAGTGGCAACACTTTCCACAACATGATTTTCAGCGACGAGTGCTCGATCTCCCCTCCATTGTTCATGTGTGGGGGGAATCAGTAAACCGGGTGCCACCAAGATTTGCATCTTTGATGGCATCATGGGTGCCGATCTCTTTTGCAATGTTCCAGAGACGACGCTTATTCCGTTTATTATTATTATTAAAGTTACGAGCACCAGTTCATACAGGATAATGACCTGAAGCACACGAGTAGGCGAGCGCAAACTCTCTTCGACGAGGAAAAAATCAACTGGTGGTGTACTCCCTCTGAAGAGTCCTGACCTTAAGCCCATGGAAACCTTGTGGCGTGAACTCAAGTTCTACTTGGAGTGAAAAGTAAAACCTCACAACAAGCAGGAGCTTGTAAATTGTATAAAGAAGTTCTGGGAGAGGAAGGTCACGCCGGAGAAGCGTGCAAAATACATAGAACATATTTTGCGAAAGGTTGTTTCAGCTGTGTTGGAGGCTCGAGGCTCGAGGTGCTGAAACAAAATACTACAAGCGGCTCTTTTGGGAGCCACCGCGCCCTGCTCCACCTAATTCTCTATTGACATTGCACTGTAGGTAGCTAAAAATGGCTCTTAGGAGGCACCAAATCTATTGAAAGTCAATAACCAGTAAGATCTTCGTATCACGAAAAACTCTCTACAATATTGATATATTAAACAGTGGGATATGATTAAAGAAACTTCGTTTCTCACACTAAAATCCTGAAATAAAACAAAAAATGCTGATATGACAAAGATTATGATCAGTTTGCGTAAAGCGAAATGAGAAGAGAAAAAAGGAAAGGAAGAGGGCCTCTTTAGGTTATGTGTATTATGTGTATTATGTGAGGTTATGTGTCATCAATCGTCACCAAACCTGAGGCGAATAACTTCTGTTGTTAGTATAATTGCTAAGATGCTTTCAAATTCTGTCGTAAATGTTTTTCGTAAATTGGAAATTGGAAATTCTGATACAATAGTTTGGATTACCTGTATCAAGATAAGCAGCCAGTTTCAAATATGTGTGCAAATCTTAGGCATGCAGTTTTAGTTTCAGCCAATTTTCGCATCTATGCGCTGATCTCAGCTATCAGTAAAAAAAAAAAAACGTAATTTTTCAGCTGACAGAATTTTGATCAATTTTCAGCTTTCCATAAAGCTCCAACAAGAGCCCTCACACAGAATCAGAATATGCAATAGCCTTGTGCACTAGTCAAACGGAGTGAATTTTGAGATGTCACAATGATTCGGAAATGGCTTTAAGCCATTTTCAGAATTAAACACAGTCCAACTGAAGCAATGAATTACTATAAAATGTCACATCCTTCTATGCAAAATAACATGAGCAATGATTCTACGTAAATTCAATTATCCCAACCAATAATTAGGACCAATGCATACAAAGCCGAAAAGGATTTGATGTGGAATTCTGTTTCCTTTCACTTTTGAACAGATTTGTCAGTTCTGGATAACTGTCACCCCAGTAACAGGATTTGCACTGTAAATAAAGTAAATTCAGAAATAGAAAATTAAGGTTCAAATATACTTACACTGAACTACAATTGTTGTGTCAATAGAAGTGACTTCCACTGAGTTATTGGCTCGACATGTATATTGTCCTGTATCTGTTCTGTTTATATAATTGAACTTTAAAAGCGTAGCTTTCTTCCTTGAACTTTCCAGTACTCCATTTCTAATCCATGCCACATCTGGCAATGGTTTCCCAGAAGCTTCACAAGCCATGGTGACAGGGGATCCTTCAATGTAATATTTTCCTCTTAAAGAGATGTTTATAAGTAGTGCCTCTGAAAGGTAAAATAGATTATATCATTCCTCAAATAGCGTAGCAAATCTTACTTGGACTGGGTCTTAAGATTTACCCAATTTCCGTAAAATAAACAAAAGCATCCAGCAATTGGTCCTCAATAACCAACTGGTATAAGGAGGCTCAAACTTCATTCAGTACAAGTAAACCTGTTGGCACTAGCTACTGGAGAAATTGCTCACATACTCAATTATAAAGCAGAGCCCCAGCCTGGGGCTAAAGACCCTGGCTTCTAAGCTACTTCCATTCTAGTGGATAAAATTTTTGCTACTGCACAAACAAATAGGAACAGGGCCAATCAAGCCACACCCTACTCGGAACTTGGTCTAACAAAAGATCTACAAGAGACATCCTCAACCCAGAGAACTGAAATTTTGATGAAAGAGAAACTATGGATTCTTCGCAATAAAAAGAATATACCAGTGGCATGCTGCTGCTTGCCCATTACTTAAAGTTAAAAGAGGGTCCAGTCTTAGTAAAAAATAAAAAAAAAAACAAGATGTTTGGTCCTGGATTTTTTCTATAAGTGAAATATGAGACATGGATTGGCTTTGGGCTACAAAAAACAAATGCAAATGATGATTCTTTTGCCATTTTTAAGCCTTAATAACCTGGTATCTTTCTATCGTAATACAATTCGAGAATAGAAGTAGTGTGACAGGTATTGTATTACAGTTAAAATAAGCCAACAGAACATAATAAATGCATAATTTAAATAAAGGAAAGAAAGAATATTATGTACAGTAATGGCTGGTGAGCTTAAACAATTTTATTCATGAGTCATAAAGGATCAAAAACAAGCGAGTGAACATAGTAAACAGAGAGTTCGGATTTTTCACAAGTGAATAAAATCGTTCAAGCAAACAATGTGGTAAATTGTACAGGAGTATTGACATCTCACAAACGTTTTCAACTTTGAATCACAGTCAAATGACAAGTCTCAATTTGCTCCTTAGTATCAGAAATTACTTGAGGAAGTCACCATTCTGTTTGCTAAATTTACATCTGCAAACCTCTAAGATTGTATGATCCTCAGAAAGCAGCAAATGGTGCAGTGCTGACTTACATTGCCTTTGGCAAGTCCCTTTAACAGGCATGAAAGAAATACAATCTTTTTCACACCAATGTAATTTCACATGCTGCCTTTGATTGGTCATGCAATATTTTCCTTCATTGATTTAGCAAAATCATACAGCCAGTTCGATTGTTTCTGGTCTTGACTGACCATTTTAAATTGACAGCCTTGCTAAGAAAAAATCTCAGTACTCATATTAATAATGGTTATCTATGCATAACAGAGCAACCCAGTAATTGGTGCCAGATGAGTAAAGCAATAACCAAAAGCCAGGTTAGCTAGCCTGTGACTTTCAGCCCTGCATATGAAGGTTTGTGCATATTTATGCTATTGTTTACTTTTACCAGGTCTCAGAAATATGAGAGACATGAGTTCAATGCATTGATTTTTATTTGGTTATGAATTTTCATGTCTGTAATACATACCTGCCACAACAAGCTGCACTGTACTTTCTACTGAGTAGGAAAAGCTTCCAAATATTTCACATTTAAATTTGGTCTTGTCTCCAGGGTTGATGTTCTTGATAACCAGGGTAGCTCTTCCTACAATTTTACACCACCACTGTCATTAAAAATCATTCTGACAAATACACCATTTTCCAAAACACTGTAGAGAATGCCCTGAATCTTATTATGTGGATCAGTGTAGTTCCACACCAGATTGGCATCACTACCATTGTTAAAGTAGCTTGGATTAGAAGGTTTCTGGGTGAAATGCACATCCACACCCCCTAAAACAGACAACCATAAACATAATATTCTCATGCCCTATATTTACAAGTGTTAGGATAATATTTACAAAGAGGGGCTTAAATAGAGTCCACCATGGAGGCACTTTTAGTGTAAGCAGTAACAACAATAAGTGTAAATATGCACTGCAATGGTATTCACTGATATCAATCAGCTTTAAATATACTTTAATTTGCTAAGAAATAAGGTTCAATAGCAGTAATGTGTAACTATTTGTGCCTTTTGAAAATCATTTTTGACAAGTTCCAACCTAGAAATGCAAGGCAGCCACTTTGAAATTTAGCACTCTTGCTACGATCACCCTGTGCACCGTGATTATATAGCAAGACATGATGCAATCCTCAATCAATCTGAGCATGCACATCTCTAAAATCAACTGAACAATCACACTAATGGTATTTAATCGTTGAAGTCATCACATTACGCCTTGAAGTTAAGACAACAACAGCAAAAAAAACATTGCAATGATCAATCATGTCACATGTGCATTAGCTTTAGCCCATTGAGTGGTCACAAAAATTCCAATGTTATTGTAAAAAAGAAATCAACCACAATTTTCCATTGTCTGTAACCTTGTATTGTAACCACTCAGCTGTGCCTCCTTTAGCTTTGAATATCTTTGACCTCATTTCTATGATCAATAAGATTTTATGTAATAAGCTGAATTCTACATGCATTTTGATTGGTTCTTTCATGTAGTTATGATCTATTGGAGGACAAACGCATGGGTGATGTCACCATTAACAATTTTTGCTTCTTCACTGAATAAAACAAATAGATTCCATGTTGCAGTTGCTATGTACATTTACAACTCAGAGGATGTGAAATTATGCTAAGAACATTAGTGACACACTCAACTGCCCCCAGCTTGTTCTAGGCATTCATTAAGTAAAACATAGCACAATAGTAAACAGTGCTGTAGTCTCCCTTGCTTTTTCACTCCTCTAGTACTGCTGCACCTTTGCTAGTTAACTCCATTTTCTTAACTGAATGCCTGGAACAAGCTAAGCTGCATCTCATGTGCCACTTTTTTGTTCTTACCATATTCTGACATAACAAGTGATCTATTACTGAACAGGTGTGCAGCAACATGGAATCTATTTTTTAAGAAGAAAATGGAAAATTATGGTGGATTTGTTTAAGTGCTTTTGTATAAATTGATTCCCAAGCTCACTGGTGGTTAGCCACCAGTTATTCACCTCAGCTCAAAGCATCACACAACAACAAAATGGCTTCCTGCCCTGCTGTGGAAAGCTAAGAAAAAAAATTTCAAAAAAAGAAGCAGCTGTCACAAAAATTACAAAAGCAGCAACCAAGCGTGCTTTGATAGCATTGAATGGTAAATTAACTAACCTTTCAAACCTTAATTTTTCACAGAAAAACTCAGATTTTTCTTACACTGCACTGTAAAGCTTTACACAGGTGAAAGACAAAATTCAACTTTTTTTGTACCTTAATGTGTCATTAAGCATTCTGATATTCTACTTATCTGCAGGACAGCAAGACAGGTAGTAAATGTACTTATTATGTGAAGCACTTCTGCCAAAAAAAATTGGATTTGGTAGAATCCTTGATTTACCTGGAAAGCCAAATTTTCTCTTGCTTTTTTTCACTATGATAATCACATATTGGAAGCCTGAGACAAGCCAGTTGGTTCATACACCTTGGGACCATGAACCATTAAGTGGTAGCATCATTGGAACTTCTTAAACTAAATATAAATTTTGGTTTATTCACTTGGTACAAACTGCCAAATTGCCAGACGATTTCTTCTCCAGATTGCAGGAAAATGCGTTTCTGGGAGACTTTTCTTTTAAAAATTTCCCGGGGGAGCATGCCCCCGGACCCCCTAGAGGTTCGGGCCTTCGGCCCTCAATTTTCCAAGGTACCTGCCTACTGCGTCTTGTTCACTTTGATTGCCTCAGCAATACATGTAGCACCCGCAGCACTAATACCATTCCCAGGCAAATCAAAATTGGTTTGCGTCTTGTTCACTTTGATTGCCTCAGCAATATATGTAGCACCCGCAGCACTAATACCATTCCCACACAAATAAAAATTGGTTAGCGTCTTGTTCCCTTTGATTGCCTCAGCATTACATATAGCACCCGCAGCACTAATACCATTCCCACACAAATACAAATTGGTTAGCGTTTTGTACACTTTGATTGCCTCAGCAATACATGTAGCACCCGCAGCACTAATACCATTCTCAGACAAATTCAAATTGGTTAGCGTCTTGTTCACTTTGATTACCTCAGCAATACATGTAGCACCCGCAGCACTAATACCATTCCCACACAAATACAAATTGGTTAGCGTCTTGTTCACTTTGATTACCTCAGCAATACATGTAGCACCCGCAGCACTAATACCATTCTCAGACAACTCCAAATTGGTTAGCATCTTGTTCACTTTGATTGCCTCAGCAATACATGTAGCACCCGCATCACTAATAACATTCACAGGCAAATACAAATTGGTTAGCGTCTTGTTCACTTTGATTGCCTCAGCAATACATGTAGCACCCGCAGCACTAATACCATTCCCAGACAAATCCAAATTGGTTAGCGTCTTGTTCACTTTGATTGCCTCAGCAATACATGTAGCACCCGCATCACTAATACCATTACCTCGCAAATCCAAATTGGTTAGCGTCTTGTTCACTTTGATTGCCTCAGCAATACATGTAGCACCCGCATCACTAATACCATTGAAAGACAAATCCAAATTGGTCAGATTCAAACCAGTTCCAAACAACTTCGATAAATAAGAGTGAAAATCACTTTTTTCTCTTTTGCATTCGTTGATGGCCTCCACTACAATTTTTGCACCACCGCCTTTCTTTTTGTTCACTTTATTTGTTAAACTCTTTACCAGAGCCACAACCTGTTCATCGCATTTCATGGCCAAAATTCCACACGAAAACAAAAGTATTTGTTTAAGTTCAACGAAATACTTTGGATCGGAAACTAGTTCTTCAGGTTTCATTTCCTTGCTTTGAATCTGAGAACAAATGAAGAATGCTGCAAAGAATTCTTGAAAACTTTTATGTAAGAAGGCATAATGCAGTGTTTGTCTCAGTTTGCTGCCACCAGGCTGCACTGACAGAAACCCAAATTCAGTCAGGTCTTTTGCATGGTTTCTCAATTCACTTTCATTTAAATCCAGCTTATCGTCAAGTAAACCCTTCAACGCTACCTTTCCAAGGTGATTCAATTGCGGTTTGTAATAGTTTGTCAGGTCTTCGATCTTTTCTAATAGTCCCTTCTTTTTTCTATATCTTCTCAAAACACATTCAACCATATCCAAGTACAGTTGAGCTCTGCTTTCGGGGAGTGTGCCCTCAAACTCTTCGCATAAAAGGCAAAGAAGTGCTGTATTTAGAGGATTGGCCGCTATTTCTGTCAGGTTTTTATCTCGCGACATCCGTTGCGAGAGCTTGGTGGCTAAATCCGGCCTTTCTTTAAAGTACTTGATGACAAATTCTATCACATGCTTTTCAGTGAATCCTTCGATTTGAAGCAGCGCGTCACAACATTTTCTCACCTCTTTTCCAGCTTCTTGTCTTGCTGTTGCAACTATGTGGCATCTAGGGAGTTCTCTTCCTTCAATTAATTTGGAAAACATCGACAATTTCCCGGATGGTAACTCATCCAATCCATCCAATATCAATAAAATGCTGGACTGATTTTCACGAATAAACTGAAAAAATTGTTCTTTGACTTTTTCATCGATGCCTAGGGGCAGCAGCTGATCATCAATGGCTTCCCAAACGTCAGAGTGGATATCTCGACATTTCAGCGACAATACCAATTTTAATGCTGTTGAGCCGCAGCCCTGAGGTGCTTGCTGTTTTGCGGCCCAGTCGTAGGCGTACTTTTTACAATAGGTGGTTTTTCCCATACCAGGTTCTCCTTCAATCAACACCGTTCTCGGCGCTGAACACTCTTCATACGGGTCTAGTATTGACGACATGTCAACAAATACGTCAGTGATTTCTCCTCTCGTTTTCTTTCTTCTGACCACTTTGAGCCTTGTAAAAATATTTCCAAGAAAAAACTGAAACTCTTCACACCATGGAAATGGTGAGAGCCATCCCTCACTAGTCTTGTACAGCTGGCGAATTCCATTGATAAGTTCAGTTGGATCAAAAATACCTAGTAGTAGCAAAATAAGTAAGAAATCTAATGAATGCAGCGTTGAAAATTATGATACCTCTCTGGTATTCGGCACTGAATTTAAATATGCGAATGAGTACGATACCGTTGCCAAAGAAATTACTAGGACTACGCAAAAAGGTTTTAGTGTATGATTCATGCTTACTGATTAAAAGCCATTTAGATTATGAATTCAGTTGAACCTCCTCTGTTTGTTCGGCTTTACCGGTGTCTAAAAGTGAATTTCTGTTGTAAAATAAATTACACGGGAGATAAATATTCATATTATTGGGGCCATAATCTGATCAAGGTTTTTTCGGGATATAGCGAGACTACGAACTAATAAATGAAAACCAAACAACGCCTTTCTGCCTTCTTTGTCACGCGGTTTCATCACAAATGTTGCAGAAAACTGGAGGCTCGCCTGCGATCAAGTGGAAGGTTTTGCCAACAGTCTTTTCCTCAGGAAATGTAAAATAACCACATACATCTTATTCTAACCTATTTTACTCGAGACGATCCTCATTCAACTATTTTCTCATGTAGAATTGAATACTCCACAATATGAGCGAAGGAAGGGTTTAGCTATTTTATTCAGAAATATGCGGATCACATTTAATGCTGCTAGGTATTCGGCACTGAATTTAAATAAGTGAACGAGTTCGACACCATTGCCAAAGAAATTACTTGGACAATGACGAAAAGGTATCAATGTATGATTCATGTTAATTTAATGACCAAAGGCCATTTAGCTTATAAATGCCGTCGAACCTGCTCAGTTAATTTCGAACATGGAGCCGAACTTAATGCCAATATTTTCGTCAAAACTGTACTTTATTTTTATATCGTTCTCCCTTCTAATAAAAATGTAATGTTTCCGGGCTAATTACGGGTAAAAGTTTAAATTGAAGGGAATGAAAGCACACCACAGAGACTATTCCAGAGATTGTTTAAATTGAAAAACTGAATCTCTCTAAGATAGGATGATCTCTCTCTTACATGCAGAACATTGTTAACTACGGCTAAATTTGCGGTTAAGAAGGATAACTTTTATTGTATAATTCAACTGACCTTCATTCTTACTTTCTCCCACAGGGGTTGCCAAAGTACACAGCTTTTCCTTCACTTCTTTAAGTTCATTGTCCATCTTTGCCATTTCGCTTCTCATTTTCTCAAGAGACCCTTTCGTGGAATAACATTGGAAATTTTTAGTCCGAGTGAGAGTCACTTTATTTATTAAAAGTTAACTAAATAGATCCTTTTCCCTTCCTTTGTGTTTTCTTTTTATTCTATACAACATTCTAAAAAACCTTTTGGCCCAGGTCAGCGGTCTCTTATAGTGAAACCCAAGATATAAATATTGATATCATTGGAGCCGATAGTCTGAGAAAGATTTTGGTCAGTAAAAGCGACACTGTAAGAACTAATTAATAAAAACCAAAGAACGCCTTTCTGCCCTCTCATTTCTCCTTATTTCCTCAACAAAAGTAAAACTAGTATAGGACAATAACATTCTCGGCTAAATATGTATGAGTGCTGTCAGAAAACTATCCAACACCGAGAGGTAGTCTCACATCCATACCATCCCATTCATCCCACACATTACCAAGTATCTTCATTTGTAGCCAGAGCAGGTTAAAAGCCAAGGTGTGCTCTTACAACAATACATTACCTAAGAAAATGTTAAATTGTCTGACATCACGCGAATAATGTGGTCATGCTCAAAAGATGTGTTAACAGAATCCCTGTTGATAGTTCAGTTTATCTGTGAGTAGCTCTTTCTAGTAACCAACCTTCATCTGTGCTTTTTTCCACTGTGGTCGTCAGGCTACTAAGCGTCTCTAAAATCTCCTTCATTTTAATCTCTATCTTCTCAGTTGTGTCTCTGAGGTCGTGTCTCATCTTTTCTCGCGAATCTGGAAATGTAAGAAAGATAGGCGCAATTTCATAAGCACATTTACACCACAGATTCACGTTTAGGCGCAAACAAAACAATGGAACGTATATCAATAACTAGTCGATTCCGAATAGATCAAACTCAATAAGACGCTTAGAAATTACAAAAATGCACTTCAGCAGTAATAAAAGAGTACCCACGAACAGAAAAAATATTGCCCATGAAAACAATGTGTACATTTGGGTTAATTCTTCATTTTTCACACATAACGCTAGAATAACGTTCCAAGTATGTGACTGGTTCCGTCCAAAATGAAAACATCATGAGTTACCCAACACCGCGGTGATTCAAAGCTGGAGAAATCTAGAGACTCGCCTGCGATCAAGTGGGAGGTTTTGCCGACAGTCTTTTCCTCAGGAAATGTAAAATAACCACATACATCTTATTCTAACCTATTTTACTCAAGACGATCCACATTAAACTATTTTCCCATGTAGAATTGAATACTCCACAATACGCCAGGAGGAAGGATTTGGTTTCATTCGGGAATATGCGGGTCACATCTATCGCTACTAGGAAGTTAGGTTCATTATAAGAAAGGTAATACTAAAACAAGACGATAAACTATCCCGCTTACGATGATACATATGTATGAGGGCTGTCAAAACACCATCAAATCCGAGAGGTAGCCAGGGGCAAAATCTAAGATTCCGTGGCATCCCACACATTACATAAAATCTTCATGTAAAGCCAGTGCCAGTGGTGACTAGGGTGCTCTTAGACTAGTAAAGTATACTGTGTTGGCCGACATCCAGCGATTACCGTCGTCATGCATACGAGCTGCGTTATGTACCCAAGAAAACAGTGTCACTCTTAATAATTTCTTTGCTGTGAGTAGCTCTCTCTACCAACTAACCTTGTGCGCTTTTTTCAGCTGAGGCCGTCAGACTACCCAGCTTCTCTTTCACCTCTTTCACTTCGATCTCTATCTTGTCAATTGTGTGTCTCGTGTTATCCAGCGAATCTGAAAATTTTAAAAGGTATGCACATTTTCATAAGCAAATTTATATCACCTATCTTGCCTACGATCATACATATGTGTGAGTGCTGTCAAAACACCATCATATCCGAGAGGTAGCCAGGACATAATATCCCACATTCGGTGGCATCCCACACATTATAGAGTATCTTCATGTATGGCCAGTGTGAGTGGTGGCAGGGGGGTACCCTTAGATCAGTAAATTACCAAAGTATGCTGCGTTGGCCGACATCCAGAGATTACCGTCATCATGCACAAGAGCTGCGTCAGGTACTCAAAAAGACTGTCGCTCTTCAAAACTTTTGTTTTCAGTGGGTAGCTCTTTCTACCAACTAACCTTCTTGTGTACTTTTTTCAGCTGAGGCCGTCAGACTGGTAAGCTTTTCTTTCACCTCTTTCATATCAATCTCTATCTTGTTAGTTGTGTCTCTGAAGTTTCTCTCCATAATGCTTCTCATGTTTTCCAGCGAATCTGAAAATTTCAAAAAGTATGCGCATTTTTATAAGCAAATTTATATCACCGTTTCACGTTTAGGAACAGATAAAACAATGATACCTATGTCAATATCTAGTCCATTCCGAACAGATCAAACTCAATAAGACGCTTAGAAGTCACAAAAATGCAGTCCAGCAGTTGCACACGAGTACCCACGAAAAGATCAAAATACTACAAATGAACACACAGTTTCAACATTAGGGTTAATTCTTCATTCTTCACACATGACGCAAAAATACCTTCAAAATATAAGACTAGTTCCGACCCAAATGAAATTTCATGAGCTAGCCTGCACTGCTGTGTTAACTGGAAATATATACTTTTGTAGCCTTCTGATTCATCCACATTGGCAGTGGACAATGTTTTCCTTACCTTCAATTTCTTCAAGCTTGTCTTTGATGCTGTCGTCGTCTTTCTTCCATTGTTTCATCAGTTCACGATAATGCTCCTCGACATCTGGATCCATGCAGTCGTGCTCAAGATTGTCGATTTCAGCTCTAAAACGAGCTCCTCCCAGTCTCACCAAAGCTTCTCTTACTTCCTGCCAGTAAGCACTGAAACTACTGTCATCCACAGAGGCTTGAGAAGCATGGCCGTATACAGTGTTCCTGTAATACTTCACTCTGGCGATGTCATCTGCAATGCTTATATTTATAACTAGGGGAAGACGATCCCATCCATTGACAGGAGGGCCCAAACCACAGATATTTCTAAGAAGCACCGTTAGAAGTGTGATATCGAAGGCTGCAGAAGACACGGGTGCGTGAGAAGGGTACAACTTTCCCCATTGTGTAGGATTAAGCACTTTCTTCCTCCCTTTGTACAGTGATTGCAATGTGGCGTAATGCACTGAGGTACTTCCCAAAACTGTATGTAGAGTCGCTGGTGGATGTATTCTGTCAAAAGTGGACCGAAGCACCTGAGATCCAACATCCACCAGGAGGCGGCATAGTCTTGCATAATTGGTAGTCTCTTTCGTAGACGCAAATGGCGAAATAGCCGTAGCCATAATACTAACTTTTCCAGGATGACCTGTCAAAAAGAGAATTGACATTAAGTAATGTTAATCAAACCCAATCGGAAAAAAAAACTCCCGATAGCCAATTGAGACCGAGAATGGTTTCAAATCGTGATGTCATTTTCTAAATCCTTTTAAGCAAGGAACACCAACGAAAGAACCTAATAAGAGATTTAATCTGAGATTTTTCATTTCAACCCAGTTTCTAGATTAAGAAAGAGTTTTGTTTTTCAGTTTACAAAGTAACAACCAGAGACATAAACAGCAGAAATGAAACGCGATTTGAAAGGTTAAGGGGAAATAAGTTTTTTTTCCTCTCTAGGGCCTAAAACCCGGTCAGTTCCGGCTGGTTGACGTTTGATTCTTAATCATCATCATCATCATCATTTATTTGATAATGCAGGTAACAAATTGGCAGCCAAGAAGGTTGATGTGGACCTACACATCACTAAAATAATTAAATGATATATACTATACTGCTAAAATAAAAAACTAATCTAAAAAGAGAAACTTAATCTTAAAATTTAGGATTTATTATATCTAACAAAATTCCCCATTTCGCCTAAGAAGTATCTAATAATAAAAGTAATCACAGTTGTACCCGCATTAATACAAAAGCCGCACCCGTTTTTACTTCTTCATGCAGCATCACAAAGATCTGACCATTGCCGGCGTAACCATTATACCTAAACCTTAAAACCTCCATAGCTCCAAAACGATGCACAAGCAGACACAAATATATAAACTACAGTTAAAAATCAAAGCAAGACTGCACAACCTCCATTTACCACCCTGCAAAGATCACTGCTACAACTTGGTCACTTGAAACATAATTGCAAAAGTATCATCTATCACCATCCCAACAAGGACAAAAACTACACAATCACAAGCAAACTACATAATCATAAGCAAACAGCACTGTGTTAAGAAAATTTTCGTCAATATGGGAATCATGCAGTTACACTACACTGAATCATGCAGTTAAACTGCACTGAACTGTATGAATTGACAACTTTCTCGATAATATTATCAGTGCAATGGCCTCTGAATGTTGTAGTATTGCTTGTTTTAAGCTACATTTCTGAAACATTGCATGCTATATTTTAATTTGTTATCTTCAGATATTATAAAAGAAGGTACTGACTCTAAATACGATATGTCTTTCAGTAAACTTAATTCACACTTGGACTCAAACTTTTTGAAAATTTATACTCCTCATGTCAGCTTGGTGTTGCTACTGCTAATGTACAGTTGTTGTTATGGTTATGGTTATTAGTGTTTAGTCAAAAACACTGAAAACTTGGATGTCAAAAATTTGAACAAAATTGGTATGCATGTAGCATTTATTTCTCCCACAAGAATTACCATAATTAAAGTTATGCAGTCATAATGTCCATAATATAATGTCTATAATGTAATGTCTGTAATATTATGTCTGTAACATAATGTCAATAACATAAAGTGGGCCTTATTTTTTCTTGTGCTTTTCGAGGATTTTGATAATTTACAACACTCAAGTTTAGGCCCCTAGAATTTGTAAAAAAGGAGCCAAGCAGACCAAAAAAAACTGGTTTTCAATTTCAGAGAAAACAAAAAAAGAGCTATTTTCATACACTTTTCATTGGACAAAAATAAACAGCCTTTCTTGGCCATTTCCTGCAAAGTCAACTTTCAGACTACTGTTTTTTAAACAATTTAGGGTCTCCTTATTCCAAAAATTCATGAGTGGGCTAGATATGAAATATTTTAAATTTCACTATTTACATATAGGTCAATATGAATAGGTCATGATGGTTTTGGTTATTTTTACCATCTCGTAAAAATTGCTCTTACCATCCGATGAAATATACTTTTACACAAATGTTTTGGCCGTCAATGGCTCTATATGTAATGGTAATTTATGAATATCTTGAACATGTTGGATTGTTTACATGATCTTCGTTATTCATCCAGCTTGGGTTAGATTTTGTGCTTTGACGTCCATGCTACAAAAATTATTAAAAGTTAAACCTCTCCACACAAAAAAAATAATTTATGCAAAATCACCATGGTAGCCACTAATTGCCGAAGGGTACCTTAAAGGACTTAAGTTAGGTTTAACTTGGCAAAACCTTAATGATAGACACTTTGCATGAATGTACTAATTTCCCATGCAAGACATGCAAGCATGGGGTGATAATTGCTAATCCATATGTACTTTGCCAAGGATGGAACCAGATCTCTGCACAAGATCTTCCATATTCCTGTTTTAGGAGGGGAGCTTAAACTTTGATTTTATATGAATTAATAAGTTTTAATCAATGACCCAAAATTGAGTCTCTCAAATGTTAATATTCATAAGTCAACATACAGTTGAAACACTTCACAAACCTAGCTGCATGTAATCAGTAATTAAACCACCAGTATATCAGAAGGACCACCAGAATTTCAGCAACATTTTCTAAGAGTATTTCCACATGTTTGTAGCCAAACATAATCATGCACAACCATCGATCACAACATAATTAAATAGGTCATTAATATAATGTATAGTTCTTGACATAACATTACCAGGCAAAATAATTAATACTCACATGGATATAAGTGAAATGAGAGCATGCAGAATTCTAAACATATGCAAACAGGACACAATTATTCCCAGCAAATAAATTATTAACCCTTTAACTCCCACATCAAATTTGTAATTCTCCTTACTCCCAATCCTACAATTCTTATAATGTTAGTTCAGAGAATTTAGTATTGGATCAACTTATTATCCCCAAATTTATATTTTTCTTTACTCTCATCACTTATCTGGTTGATATTGTGATGATATTGTAAGGAGAAATTCTGTCTTGGTCACTCATGGCAATTAAAGGGTTAATAAAGATTGACAAAATGAAGGCAAGTTTCAAAAATGAGAGAAAAAAAGAGCAGCAAGTCCTCCTACCTTGTATAGAGTTTCCTGGGTTTGAGAAAATAACCCTTGAATCAGGGATAAAGTCAGAAAGTCTGAAAAGAAAAGCAGCAGAACAACAGTTGCTATAAATCAGTTATGAAAGACAATGAAAGTCACAAAGAAGAGCACTAACAGGTGCCCCAAGGTTATCAGTGGTATTAACCACAACATTATATAATATCAAATTAAATTTCATATTATCAGCTGAGTTGATAATGTAAATTCACCACTGTGATGAGTTTAAAAGCTGACAATTCCTTTGTCAGCCCAATTGCTCTGATGAAAAGGCTAACACTCAAAATTTCATCTTTTTAAACCTTATCAACTCAATTGATAATACTAAATTATCCTGGCATACTCTCCCACTGAGGCAGCACCACAGTTTCTTTAGAAACTTACCCCCTTTATTTATAATATTAGAAGTGAACTGTAATCAGGAGAGCTTTGATAATTCATAGATTACATACTAGGCTTTCCTCCTCAGGGAACATCACTCTAGCTCATTAACTGTTCAAGGAGAGCTAAGAAACAATAGCTTAGAATTCTAAACATATGCAAACAGGACACAATTATTCCCAGCAAATAAATTATTAACCCTTTAACTCCCACATCAAATTTGTAATTCTCCTTACTCCCAACCATACAATTCTTATAATGTTAGTTCGGAGAATTTAGTATTGAATCAACTTATTATCCCCAAATTTATACATTTCTTTACTCTCATCACTTATCTGGTTAATATTGTGTTGATATTGTAAGGAGAAATTCTGTCCTGGTCACTCATGGCAATTAAAGGGTTAATATAGATTGACAAAATGAAGGCAAGTTTCAAAAATGGGAGAAAAAAAGAGCAGCAAGTCCTCCTACCTTGTATAGAGTTTCCTGGGTTCAAGAAAATAACCCTTCAATCAGGGATAAAGTCAGAAAGTCTGAAAAGGGAAGCAGCAGAACAACAGTTACTATATATTAGTTATGAAAGACAAAGACAGTCACAAATAAGGCCACGAACAGGTGCCTAAAGTTATAAGTGGTATTAACCACATCATTTTATAATTATATCCAAGTAATTTCATATTATCAGCTGAGTTAATTGATAATGTAAATTTGCTACTGTGACGAGTTTAAAAGCTGACAATTTGTTGCTCTGACAATGGGCTAACACTCAAAATGTCATATGTCATCTTTTTAAACCTTATCAACTCAATTGATAATACTAAATTATCCTGGTTTACTCTCCCGCGAAAGCAGCACCACAGTTTCTTTAGAAACTTACCCCTTTTATTCAATTATAATTATCACAATTCAACTGGAATTAAAAAAAAAACAACAACAACAACAAAAACCACCATGATTCACAAAGGCTGACCAAATGTGACTCTCCATATGATTTCAGGGACAAAGGTGATAACACACACACAATTAACACACCAACACACCATGCAGAATGCCCATTGTTCTCATGACATTTCCTAACAGTAGTGAAAAATATATAGATCTGTAATATTAGCAGTGAACTGTATTCTGGAGAGCTTTGATTGGTCACAGATTATGCAGGCTTTCCTCCTCAGGGAATATCACTCTGGCTCATTAACTGTTCAGGCAGAGCTAAGAAACAATAACTTAATAGAAAGTTATTGTTTATGCTATTGTTAGAAAAAATCACCCATTCATGCAAGTGGTACAAGCTGGACAAGCATTCAATTTTGAAACCTTTCATTGTATATTCATCTCTTTCTACACCTTACTCAATAAACACTTCAGTTCTATCATTAACCATATATAGGATTCTATTTTCTTCAGTAAAATCCACCTGCACAATTTTTCTGTGATTGTAAGGACATAATAAAGTCTTAAAAGTCACTTTGACACCTGTTTCTTTGAAATGCAATGTGCCATCATGATTCCAAGAACTATGAGGGCAATTCCATGTTACGGACATTACATTCAGAGACCAATTTTTTGGAGACTAATTTCCTTAAAAAACTTATTTTGCACAGTTTTCGATGTGTAATTTGTACAAACATTCCTCACAGGGTATGTGACCATCAGCAGAAAAGAAACTTCCTTTCTTTAACAAAGGCTTCCAAAATTTTTGGGT